TGTGCCTTTGTTATGTTGACCGCTAACTCTGATGGAAACAGAAGATGATCAAGCCCAGAAAACCAATGTACTATTTTGCATATTAAATTTTCCTCCATGTTAGAAAAATGTTTTGTTTTTGTAACAGAAACACAATAACATTTTGGGCTGTGTATGCAGGGTGCTGTTCCATGAAGTGGCCTTATAAGCTGTGCTCATGTTTCTCTCTCTCTCAATATATATAGTGTGCATGGTATGTTAAAGCTATCTTATCTATATCTGTCTGTCTGTCATCATCTGTCTCTGCATTCTGAAGTTTGACACAGGATAAAAGAGCAGAAAGAAAGGGGTAGCAAGGCCATGGTGGTCTTTGAAATTAAGGATAATTAAGGAGTGGAAAGGAAGCCAGTATGGGAATTTAAGGTAGGGCACCACCTAGAGAAGTTAGAGAGGTGAATGGTTTTGGAGTTGAGTGCTGAATAAACATGGTAAAGCCAATTTGAGAAAGCCAGGGAAGCGAAGATTGAATTAGTTTCAGGCTGTGGACAAGAGAAGGACCATAACCAAGTGGTAGAGGAACTGCTTTGCTTGCAGAATATTTCTTGGAGGAAACTTAGTTTCTAGATCCGTTTCAATCAGGTTTTGGCACGGAAACTGCTTTGGTTGCCCTGTATGATGCCCTGTCTGGAGATAGACAGAGGAAATGTGTCCCTGTTAATTCTCATTGGTGTCTCAGTAGCTTTCAATACCATTGGTATTTTCTGGAATGGCTGTTAAGGGTAGTTGGTATCACTTTGTGGTGGTTCTGGTCCTACTTGGATGGTCGTTTCCAGAAGGTGATGCCTGGGGAGTGCTCTTAGGTTCCATGGAGGCTTTGATGTGATGTTCCTCAAGGTTCAGTTTTATCCCCTGTGCTGTTTAACATCTACATGAAGCCGCTAAGTGGGATCATCCTACTAGTCTAGGGCAAAGCATTTCATCACCTCTTTTGTGGAGAAAAAGAGAGAGGATGAACAGAAACCAGGAATGGGACACTGTATATGGTTTTTGAAAATCCTGAAGTCCTATGCTGTTGGCTTGGGTTAGAGGTGGTTACTGGGTTTGAAAATATGACAGTATATAAATTCTAGAGGTTACTGGAAGAGTAAAAGGAGCAATGCTCAGTTTTGTAAATCCTTTTTGAAATGCAAGATGTTGGCCTTAATATCATCCCCCCCCCTTTCAGTGTACTGTCAGCTGAAAACCTTTATTAATTTTCTTTTGTTAAAACAGGATTAATAGTATTGGACCCATATTTTTTATTACACAACAACTTTGAAACATGTTCAGCACAATTTGTAGTTAAGAGTCCCTAGAGTACAAGCATAACATTGTTTTCAGTGATTTACACTGACATGGGAGGGAGATTAGGTCTTTCACTTAATTATGTGACGTTAGGCAGATTCTTAAACTAAATGGGCAGTGTTAAGAAATAAAGAGAATGGAAGAGAAATATATTTGAATGGCTCAAATAGCCGACATTCCCTGTTCCATACAATGTTAATAGTTCTCAATAGCCCATTTAAACTTTCTGCTTATTACCTAAAAAACTTGTGTAACAACAACCAATGGGTAAAAGAATGCAGAAGGAAATTTGAGTGATTGTTTATTTGGAGATCTGGTTCTAACATACACAAGATACTGATACAAAGGTTGCATGCCATACAAAACAAAGATTGTTGATATATATAGCAATATTTTTTCCCCAAGACAAACTAGAGATAAGTGGATTTCCCCAGTTTTGTTTGTAGGTTGATTCTGTTCAGCTTCACCTTTCTTCCAATTTTATGTGAAGTATTTTGAATTAATTTTAGAATTGGTAAATGTATGAATTGCTTCTACTTGTTTACAGTGTTTGTCTCCAAGTAATCCATGCAAAGCAATAGTGGATGATATCCTGTGGTGTCTGTCTGCTGACAGAAATAATCCACCAGCCTTATTGATGAGAGAGGTGTTTTTCAGCAGTTCTCCCTCCCCTCTGAATCTGCTTTAGGTCTTCCAAACCTTTGCAGAAGATTTAGGGGGACACAGGGAACTGCAAGTGCACGGGAGGTTAATCCAAAATTGTCACCTTCTCCCATTCCATCTATGGATGGACATGATTGGATACTGCCATGTTAGGGCCGCAGGTGGCACTGTGGTCCAAACGACTGAGCCTCTTGGGCTTGCCAATCAAAAGGATGGCAGTTCGAATCTGCATGACAGGGTGAACTTCCACTGCTCTGTCCCAGCTTCTGCCAACCCAGCAGTTCAAAAGCATACCAATGCAAGTAAATAGGTGCCACTGTGGCAGGAAGGTAAACACCATTTCCATGCTCTCTGGCACTTGTCATGGTCCTCTGTGCACTAGAAGTGGTTTAGTCTGGCTACATGACCTGGAAAGCTGTCTGGACCAACACCGGTTCCTTCGGCCTGAAAAGCAAGATGAGCACCACACTCCATAGTCCCCTTTGACTGGACTTAACTGTCCAGGGGTCCTTTACCTTTTTTTTTTTAACCTTACTACCATGTTCTGAAACAGCAGTTTTATTTTTTTAGAATTTGATTGTCTGCATGAGTCCATATCTACAGCAATTAAAAACCATGGGTCTGTTTTAGCAAGTGAAACAAATCTGCACCCCTAATTACAACATTACAACATTAGCAAATATCTGTATTTGCTAATATAGCAGTTCCTCTTTTGGGAGGAAGGTTCATATAAAAAATATAGTAAGTGAATTGTATATATTTATCAACAAGTAGAACTGGATCAGGGTGCAGGTATATGAAGCAAGGGTCACAGATGGTGTGTTGATTATCCACAACTGGCGTTCCAGAACTACATTCTTCCTTCCGGCGACAGCTGTTGAAGAAGTACTTTTGCTGTCAAAAGCTTACAGATTTTGTAATAGCATTTGGTGCCAAAATCTTAAGTTCTTGGATGTTCTCAATGATTTTTTAAAAAAACAGCACTACTTATTTATAGACATTCCTGTTGTAAGGAACACTACAAACAAAATAGAAATATGCACATTCCTGTGTTCATGATGATGCACAAATGCATTATCAAAAGGTTGCACACAGTATTTCAAATACTTTTGTGTGTGAATGGTATAGCAGATAGGAACAGAAAGACCGAGCAAGAGTAAACTGTATATAAACAGGGATTTCTACAATGTCTGAAAGTCCTCTTTGAACTAATACTGGATTAGTAATGCAATGATGCAGCTCTTTCAGACACAGGAAACAGAGAAACTAAAATCCGAGAAAAATTCAGAAGAGAACGCAAGCACTGCTTTCATAAAGTTATGAAAGTTTGCAGCCCATTTCTTGTACAAGTAGGCTTGTACAATTACACCAAAGTGTACTGAGGACACAAGTATAAATAATTCACTCTGATCCAGAGCCCACTGTGCAATGTGCAAATGGATTTCCAGCCAAGTACGGGCTTACAAACTTCATATGCAGGCCCCTTTGAGTTTGTGGAGTTGCCTCCTTAATGGAAGTTACTGGCAATGCTTTTTGCCTACAAGGAATCTGTGGATCAGGTGATTATGTTACATTATGTAATCAGATGCATGAACGCTTCCTTTGGAAGATGTTTTGCATACATAATTGACTATTGAATTGTCTGTTTCATACGATACTCTTAAGGTTTTTGTGTTAAAAGATGCACCATGACAGCATTAGATATATAGATGTTCAGAGCGCAAAATCTACCCAAAGATTCTTGGGGGCAATACTTCTAGGGAGAGAAGTAGAGCCAAGGGGATGGCCTCCAACTTAACAGGGGAGTGGTTTACAAACCCTGCTAATGCTGTATCGCCAGCCTCAAACTTGCATGCTATAGTGGTAGGGCAACAAACTGTTCTGTTAGTCCAAATGACATTGAGGGAGGTTGGACCTCCTTTCCATGCCATATCGGGTCAATGGTGGGTGTGCAGCAAGCTGTACAGCTAGCCTGAATCTTTGGATTATAGTGTTGTAGGCAAGGCTGAGCAGTACATAGAGAAAATATGTTAAGCATCTTCTTCCTACAGTTTGGGAGAGTGGGGTTTTGTCCTGCTGAAGTGTGTTTGTGTGCAGACTGTTCTGTTACTCTAGCACTCTAGTCCCATTTTCCCCCATCACCAATAGGGCACTGAGCTGTTTCAAATATTCTGTTCCTATGGGAGGATTTTGCACATGTGCAACCCCTATTGGGCAGGTGTTTTTTTTTTTCTGGGGAGGGGTGGTCTCTTTTTAAATAAGTAACGTTTTCCTGCATACTTGGAGAGTCCTTTGAGTGTGTCAAATTCTGTCTCTGTATTTGGTCCCATTTCACTGATTGGCACAGGACAACCAAGTTTGCTCTTAGAGAGACTGGTGAATAAATAGCATAAGGTCAAATAGCATAAGGTCAAACTCTGAAGTTTCATTGCTCAAAATATAACTTTTTTCATGTTCAGTGTTATAATAATTATGTATTGCTGCCTCTAGCAGTCTTCATTTTATCTGGATTCCAGTAGAATACTTAAAGGTGCCATTCATCTCCCCCAACTGCAGCTATAGATATTAATTAATGAGATAGTACAGTGCACATGGTCAGCAGCATATAATACAATTTCATTTTATTTAAAACATATTTTGCATAATATAAAAATATTGATCACAGTGAGATTTAACAATTGTTACTGCTATAAACAAGAATGCAGTACAATATTTTTAATGGAAATAAATTATATAGTTATTATCTTTTTAAAAAATCACAAAGAAGAAAATGTAGGCTGTTTGGTCATTAGAAAAAAAAAATCAAGTTCTTATTGAGTTCTTTATAATGAAGAAAATCCCAGGTTTTGTTTTCTACATTTGCTTTCCACATGTCTTAAGAGCACAAATGAGTCTGTGTCCAATAGTCCTATGATGTCTCTTTGCACAGTAAATCCAAAATGTTAGAAGTCTTTTTTTAAAAAAAAACACAACAGGAAAAATGTACACCAATTTATCAGATGGTATCTTCTTCACTAATTAATAAGTGGTCTTTTCCAATATGTTGGCACACAACGGCAAACTTCTTCACTGTAATAAAATCCAGGTTCACAGCGTTTCGTTCGAACTGTACATGGTGGTCTGTAGCAGCTGAAAGAAGTTGGGGGGAAAAAACAGTTGTAAAACTGACATGAGAAATTATTCTGCCTATTCTGAAATCTACAATGTGCTCTTGGAAAAAAGCAATTAATTTATGCAAGGATTCTCTGTAAGGTGTGTGGATTCAAGTGGCTGGCAAACAGAACTGGATACAGTTACAAGTCTTAATAAGTGCTCCGCCTACAGCTGCTTCTCTCTCTCATGTAAGCTCTGCATAAATGGAAAACACCACACAGAGAGGAGCAAGGAAGAGGTGGGTGTAGTTGTGTGAATGATAGTTTCTAGCATCCAATGACAGAATGGATTTACTAGGGCTCTTTTTACTTAGTCATGTTGCTTTCGGAATAGGAATAGAACATATCAGAAGCCATTTCGGTGCTTTAAAAATAAATAAAACTCAGCTACTGTTCCACCCCTCCCCCCCGCCAACTGCCAATTTTCTGGCACCAATGGAAGACATGGTGGTTTTCCCTGGTCTTTTCTGGATTTTCATGCAGGATGAATATTTATTTTATTGTCGCTGGTTGTAACTGAATTGTGAACTGTTCTGTTGTTGCTGTTCTAGTGTTGTTAATGATGCCTTGGATCCAAGGTGAAGTGTGATGTCAATACGAACCATCAAGATGAGGCAATCGCATATCTGACTCGCTGAGGTGGGTTCTGAAGCAAATACTTCTTCTGTGCACAGTGCTAATAATTACTCATTATCAAGTGACTATAACTATGTAACAACTTTCAAATATTTGAAAACGTTCTAGCTATTTACACAACTACTAACTTTTTCTGGTGCTGAGCTTCTAATTGCAATATCTTCTAGTCCGAACAATTTGTCTGTAATGAACTATCTTACAGATCAGAGTTATTTTCTTTCTTTAAAAAAAAGCCAAGAATTTCTCTCTGAAATAGTCTAATTTTAAAATTACCCAAGCCTGTTTTGCTCATGTAGAGTTCCTGTAACATCAGTGGAAGCAATGTGCAGGTTCAGAGGCTTATATGTATAACATTATGAATTGAAAATGGGATGGAAAGACATCAGTAATTTATAGCACTTCAGTCAGGAAAGTAAAAAAGTACTTTACTAACCAACACTTCATGCTTAGAAGATAAATATTTTGCATCAGTGGATAATTTGTTTCTACAGGGATTGCAGGACAAAGGCTATAAACAAGTTTGTCATAGCATGATAATTCCTTATGGTTGTTTTTAAAACAGGTTGACCTAACATAACCTCACACTGATAGTGCCAAATAGCCTCTGGTGTGTAATGTAGACAAAGCACTAGTCTTTTGCTATTTCAAACACTGGCAGCAAATCAACAGCGAAAAGTATACGTTTCAAGTTTCAACACAGCTATATTTTAAATTTGTTTTAAAAATTGTCTCTGTTTTTATAAAAGATAGTTTAATGATCTCAATTAACATTCCTCCTGATTAATAGCTTATGCATTTCAGTTTACAAATAAAATATTAGATGTCTGCACAACAAAATACATGGGGGGGGGGGGAGAAAGAGACGTCCTGGACAGAGGGAGGACACTTTCTTTCGTCTCTGTCCCTACATGCCTTTCCCTGCTCCCATCTAACTTGAACTCAGAAAAGTGCTTCTGTATCTGGATTTTTAAAAGTAGATTGGTACACCTACCTCCATGGACCCAGCTCTGGGGACAAGCCCCATTTCTTGAGCTGGAACTGCCCTGGTTGGGTTTGCTCTGAAAATGTGACTTTTTGAAGACATCTGAAGGCAGCCCTATATTGGGAAATTTTTAATGTCTTATGTTTTTACAACTTTTTATATGCTGTAAACTGCCCAGAGTGGCTGGGGAAACCGAGCCAGATGGGTGGGGTATAAATAATAAAATTATTATTATTGTTCTCACGAAGCACATGCCCTTCAAGGTAAACCCAGCCCACCTTGCTGTTTTTCTTTTCCAGGCAAGTGCCCGCCTGCATTTAGTGGTAGAAGTATCCTTATTGTGTGTGTGTGTGTGTGTATGGGGTGGGGAACAGTGTTGAGGACATACATCTCAAGGCACATGCCCTCTAAGTCTAATTCTCTTTCCCCTTGATACCCTGATCCACTTTCTTCCTTCAGCCTTCTGTTGATTATATATGCACATTACGCTCTAGTGCCAATATTCAGTATTCAGTTCTGGACCCATGTCTGTTTTTAAGTATGTAGGGAAATATTCACTAAAACACATATATATTAGTGAAAGCAACATACAGAACTGCATTAGGGGAACTAGTTTTGCAAAATGTGGAAATTTATCAACATTTAAATGGGATAATCTGTTGCATCCTGTTTCAATGTCCAAAGCACAGCAGAGTAATGGCATCACCAACAGTTCCCTTCCTAATAAATAAGGGACATTATTGGGGTTCAGGCATTCTATGGAAAACCCATGTGAGCATATCCCTCTTTGGGAGAATATGCAAACAGCCTTAGCTACTTTTGCAGAGGTTATTCAGGGAGATGTGCCATACTCTTTTGTACAATGGACTACATATCATGCTGTTTTCCTCACAGTAGAATCACATTCAGTTGTATGGCTTATTCTAGGTTGCTCTTGGCTCTGCTTTCTATAGCAAAAGTAATATATATAGTAGGCAGATAACTACTGGGAAGAAAAATGCTAGATAATGCTCATCATATGAAAAACTATGTTGAAGTTAGTGTTGTGGCTCTTCTCTGCATGAATCATACAGAAGTTAAAGAGGAATAAGTTCTTACAGTGCATTCATTTAACCACAGTGTGTGTGTGAACCTACATCCAACAGTGACAGCTCGGTTTTAAGGACAGGAACAGGATGTAAGTTGGATTTGAAATCTACTAGGATGTAATTTTGCTAGTATATTTATTAGGATTTTCAAATACAGCTAAGGATGGCACATGCAGAGAAATGTGTGTACCAAAAGGTTGCGTTTGAAACAGGAGATTGTATTCTATAAAAACTAATTCGATACTGTATTATATGTTTGTAACAGGATTATAGTTACACTGGAGCCAATTCTTGCAACAAATTAGCACAGCTATGAGGAAATCTGCAAAGAATGAGGAAGAAACATCCTGGGCCAACCTGTTCCATCTTGTGGTAAGCTTTGTTAAAATAACTTGTCACACTTGTTCAACTCATTTGTATATAATACACAATTCTAGATCTCAAGTTACACAACACCTACTGGAAACAAAACAACCTGGTGCACACATAATCCTAGAGAATATATTTAAAATTAGATTATAATGGGAAATAATCCATAATGGAGTAATTGTTCAACTATGAGTTTACTCCTGAAGTTTCTTCCTATTAAATTAATCCCCATAACCATATTGTGGTAGGTCTTCCTATAATATCATTTTTCTAGCAAGTCTTTAATTGGCTTAAGGAGAATAACCTTGTTGGGCTGGATATGGCCTGTAGATTCTACATTGTCTATGGTGTTTCCCCTTGAAAAAGCTTAAAACTTGCTGTATAATCTTAATACACTTTTCTCCAGGTCCTAGATGACACTGTAAATAACAACTATTAGGTGACTTCCATAATTTTTTTAGGGATAATATCTGAAATCAATGCTATCTGGTATGTGCTGAAGAAAATGAGATTATTTAGTGGAGGGAACAGCATTGTTCAGAGCTCTGCTTTTGCAAACATCTGTTTCATCAATGATGCAGTTGTATACAGTAATATTCTCAAAGATGGATTACATGGGCAATGTAAACATACATGACTAGTGTCAAATACACTTTCTGTTCAGGTAGTCCATTCTGTATGACAAGTAACATGTTTTATCTCTAGACTAGTAAAGTACTTTAACTCTGATAAGCATCAGACAACTGCTAAAGATCAAATATGTAGCATGATTATTAGAAAATTTGAGAAACTGTTACCAATGTCTTTTAGCAGGACAAAAATAACATCTACTGTATTTTTCACTGTATAGGACGCACTTTTTCCCCTCCAAAAATTAAGGGGAAATGTGGGTGCGTCCTATAGAGCGAATGCAGGCTGCGCGGCTAAGCCCAAAGCCAGAACAGGGAGACGGGGTGCTGCGCAGCGCTCCGTCTTGCTGTTCTAGCTTGGGGTTGGCTGTGCAAAGCCTCCGCTGGGCAGCGGGGTGCCTTCACCCCGCTGCCCTGTGGAGGCTACAAAGGCTGTCCCTGAAGCCTCAAGCCTTTGGAGCGCAGCGTGAGTTCCCGCTGCGCTCCAAAGGCTTCAGGGATCTTTGAGGCTGGCGGTGGGGGGAAGCAGCGCTTCCCCGCACTGCCAGCCCCACAAGCTCGGGGGGCAGTGGCAAGGCTGCGCGCAGCCTTTGCGCTGTTCCCCAACCTGCTCTTGGGGGCTGGCGGTGGGGGAAAGCAGCGCTTCCCCCGCCAGCCCCAAGAGCAGGTCAATAGGAACCTGAAGCCTCTGGAGCCCAGCGGGAACTCCTTCACTGAAGCCTGGAGAGCGAGAGGGGTCGGTGTGCACTGACCCCTCTCGCTCTCCAGGCTTCCAAGGTAGCTGCCTGAAGCCTCCAGAGCGCAGCGGTAACTCCCGCTGCGCTCTGGAGGCTTTGGGTGAATGCACTTTGAACGCACCTTGTTTTAGAGGGGGAGAACAAGAAAAAAATTTTTTCCCCTGTTCTCCCCCTCCTATGGTGCGGTGCATCCTATAGATCGAAAAATATGATAATTTAATAGAAGTTGCAAGACAAAGTATTTCAGTTGTTTTACTTACCTGCATGTCTGGTGATTAAATCTTTTTCCTTTCAAGAAGCACTTGTTTGGAGATTCTACACATTCACAAATACACTTTGCAGAATTTAGTGGCTGATGTTTAGGACATGTTCTTTTACATACACATTGGCACTTTTCTTCATCAAAATCCTTGCTGGGGCCACATGAGCTAGGCAGCAGTTTATTCTTACATGTACACTGGCATGATGTTCTATCCAGTTCTTTCTGAGGTCCACAGCTGGAAGGCCTCACTCCCCCTTTACAGACACACTGGCAGGTTTCTTCATCAAGCTCCTTATTAGGTCCACAGATATCATGGTATCCTTCAGCAGTGTCTATAAACACAGCAAACATTAGGAAAATAAATAAATTTTGCTTCAGGCATTGAAAAAAGTGAAACATATCTGCTAGTTTCACATTTTTCATACCCATGTCTAAATCACTGAATTTGTAATGTGGAGTGAACAGCCAGTTATAAAGGATTAGAGAATTCTTAATTTTAAAAAGTTTATGTGCATATAATTTTTATTTTGCTTGAATAATGCCACGTTAAGTGAATGCAACTTCTGGAGCATATTTGCTTACCGGTATCCCCAAGGTAAGAAGAAAAACTGAAGTCATGCTGAGCCAGACATCTGCAAATCTGATTATTCCAGATATGATTTTTTGGGCAAGTTTTGTTTGCCACATGACACCTAGGGATAAAATATTGCATTATTTAGTACACTGAAAATGCAAGGCAAGAGTTTTTGTGCATGGGTCACAGATGCGGACAAATGAAACCTAAGATATATTTGATTGCATTCACATTGGATAGAGAGAGATTTTTCTTCCTTCCTCATAATACCAGAACCCAGGGTCATCTAATTAAGCTGAAGAGTGGGAGCTTTAGGACAGACAAAAGGAAGTACCATATTTTTTGCTCTATTAGACACACCGGACCATAAGACGCACCTAGTTTTTAGGGAAGGAAAACAAAAAATAAGAAAGCAATGCAAAGCATCCTGAGCTAACAGGGAGCGCTCCTCCATCTTCGCTCAGGAGGCTTTGTGGGTCTATCCCCTATTGCACTATTTTAGTGTTGTTAGCCGCCCTGAGCCCAGAGGGCGGGATATAAATAAAATTTATTATTATTATTATTATCCCTGAAGCCAGGAGAGCCCTCCTGGCTTCAGCGAAAGCAAGCCTATTGGCTTTCCCCCTACATCCCGCAAGAGCCGCACACTCTTTAAAGGGAGCACTGCTCTTGGGGGCTTTTCTGGGGGTTGGGGGAAGGGACAGAGCCGCACGCTCTGTCCCTTCTCCCACTTCCCGCAAAAGCCAGGGATAGCCACGCGAAGCCTCCGCAAGGCAGCGGAGCTTCTGCTGTCCTGGCTTCTTGCTTGGCCGTGCACAGCCTCTCCCAGGCAAGGGGAGCCTTCATCCCATGCCCAGGAGAGGCTGCGCGTGGCTAAGGCTCCCCCAAGAGCCACGCTCCCTTTAAAGAACGTGTGGAGTGTGTGGGCTCTTGGGGGCTTTTCCTCAAGGAGGGAGAAGGGCAGCTCTTCTCCCTCCTCAGGGAAAAACCCCCAAGAGCCGCACACACACTCTACGTGGCTCTTTAAAGGGATCGCTGAGCCAGAGCCTCCTGCCTGCATTTGCTCCATAAGACGCACACACATTTCCCCTTACTTTTTAGGAGGGGAAAAGTGCGTCTTATAGAGCGAAAAATACTTCTCACAGTGTATAATTGAACTCTACAAGAAATAGATATGAACATCAGCTTGAATGGTTTTAAAGGGGTACTCGACAAATTCAGAAAAGGTAAGAGCTATCAATGGCTACTAGAATGAATCGGGATTTACAGAATTAGTATTGCCTATTACAGCATGCATTTGTTGTAAAGTGAAGTGGCATTGTTCACTGCCATTCCATTTCCACCCAATACATGCCGCATCCTAAAAACCCCTGCAAAGTCCTGAGGGCCATAGTGGGATATTGGGAAATGCCTATTGCATCAATTAATCCAGTAAGTCTGTGGTTTAAACTCAATTTGCAGACATTAAAACACTCAGGGTAATGAGCTCTAACATATACAAAATGTCTCCTCTGGAAAATTCCCCACAAACTGTTTTATGATTTTTGTGTGTTTTTTCCCATTCTTCTGTATACAACTCAGTATGTTTTGAAATAACAATTAAAAGAATTAAGCAAGCACAGTCTGAAAGAGCACACCTCAGACTTCAAATTGATTTATAACAGATTGAATTTACATGCAATTCACAATAACTAAACAACTGTTGTATTGTTGCTTAAAAGTTGAAAAACGAACTCCCCGCCACATTCTATGATCCTTATTCAGTATTCAATACTCTGGCAAACGGTTGTGGAAGACTGTTCATAATTTAGGTTGAAAATACTTCTTAATATCAAAAACAATTGTTTATTTAATTTAAAAAGTAGCTTGACTAAATATCTGAAGTGTTGCAGTCCTTTCATGACTCAAACTGAGTCACACTTTTTGATGTAAGGTTCACACTCTAATACATGAATCTGCATGAATTTTTGCATAAAGCTAATGATGGCATAACCTTGTCTTCTGATTTTTTTTTTTTAAATCAACTAAATAACTTTTTCCTAAAATTTTGTATAACTTTATAATACACTTGTTTAAATATTTGTCACCAGGAACCTGCATTGTATTCTAGAGTTTTTAAAACAGAGTTAGAAATATGCAAATCTAATACTTACTGTGTTTGTGTAACTGACAAGGACCTTCTAATGATTGAATGAACTTGTCTGTAGACATCAAGTTTGGACATGCATCGGCAGGATGTATGATTCGCGAAACTGATTGTTACAGGTTTGGGACCATGAGACAGTGGCACAGTTATTTCAAATAACTGCACAAAAATAAAAGCGGAACAAACAGAAATAAAAGTTTTTATTAAAAGCAAAAATGAGAGCAATGTGTTAGCATGCTGCTTATAATGTTTTTAAAATGTTTTAATTACTTAAACTGTTTCATAATTCTTAAATAAACCTGTGGATGTGTTTGATGCTCTGGGCTCCTTTGGGAGAAAGAACAGTATATAAATACAATAAATAAATCTATCTCTCTTTTAATTCGGAACCAGCGAAGGCAGTGAATGTCTGGAGGTGGTTGGAGGATGGATGGCACCTAACAGATTGAGGTTGAATCCTGACAAGAAAGAAATACTGTTCTTTGGGGACAGTTGGTGGGTGGGCGTGGGGGACTCCCTGGTCCTGAAGGACCAGGTGCGCAGCCTGGGAGTCATAGCTGTTCATGGAGGCTCAGGTCAATTCTGTGTCCAGGGCAGCTGTCCACCAGCTCCATCTGGTACTCAAATAGCAAACAGAACTAAATTATATGACATCATTTTCACGCACCAGCAAATACATCCAGAGGGTGCCCTGGTTGTGGTGGGGGACTTTAATCAAGCTTGTCTGAAGACAGTTTTTCCTAAGTTTGAACAGTATGTGAAATCACCCACTAGAGGGAAGAATATCTTGGATCGAGTGTACTCTAATCTGAAGCAGGCGTACAGGGCAATCTCCCTTCCCCCACTTAGGTTCATCTGACCATTCCTTACTCTTTTTATGTCCGAAGTACATCCCCCTTAGAAGAATTCAGCCAGCTATAAAAACAGTTAGAATCTGGCCAGAGGGGGCTCTTAGTCAGCTCCAGGACTGTTTTGAAAGAACTGATTGGCGTGTGTTTGAACATCAAGATCTGCACAGATACACATATGTTGTACTTTCCTATATTAAAGTGTGCACCGACAATGTAACGGCAGAGAGGAGCATTAGAGTTTATGGGAACAGCAAACCCTGGATGACTGCTGAAGTTAGGTCACTCTTGAAAGCCCGGGATACTGCCTTTAAGGCAGGGAGCATAGACACATATAGAGAGGCAAGAATAAAGCTTAGGAAAGGCATCAAGGCGGCAAAGCAGCAATATAAGCTCAAGGTTGAGAACTGCTTAGCTGAGAACAATATGAAACAAGTGTGGCAAGGATTGCAGCACCTAACCAACTATAAAGGCAATATGACAAACATGGTCACGGCCAATGATATGTTGGCAGAGGAGCTGAACATCTACTTTGCTATGAGGCAAAAAGTGCAGATATCTTGGCTCCTGTCTGCCAGCCTACAAATTCACAGCCGCTTGTTTTATATAACCATCAAGTGAAAGCTGCATTGCGGGCGGTGAATCCCAGCAAAGCTGCTAGCCCAGAAGGGGTGCTGGAAATAGTGGTAAAAGATTGTGACGATCAATTAGCAGGGGTCTTGACGGGGATTTTTAACATCTCTCTGCAAACCGCTTGTGTTCCATCATGTTTGAAAGTGGCCACCATTATCCGAGTCCCAAAGAAAACAACAACTAACTGCCTAGTTACAAAAAAAGCAGCCGTACAAGGCGAATTATGTAAATAATGTCACGTTATTGGCCATATTTGGACATTCTTCTCACAATTAATACTAACATGTGGGGAAGTGGAACCATGCTGGGAAACTGTGCACAAAATGAAAACATACAGGAAATGAATGTATGAAGGCTTTCCCTTTCCTTTAAGTGTTTGCTTGGTCACATGGTAGCCAGAGGAAGGGGCTACTCAATGTGGCCCTGCTTATTGCTTGTGTGTTACTATTAACTAATAATAAAATTAGGCTCTCGTTTGGTCCCAAAATAATGATATAGTGCTGGGAGATTGGGACAGAATGTTGGGATTCTTATAGTTCTACAACAAATGCATTCATATTATATTTTACAATGTAAACAACAGAACAATGTATTCCTTTTAAAGCAGATCCAAATTTCAGCGCATATTTCAATCACATGCAGACACTGAGAGCTTAAAACAAACCCAGAATGTAACTGAGATAACAACCTACCGTTTTACTGATGAAGCTTGTGCTGATATTCATACACTGCAGCCCTTCACTATTGCAGCAACCTCCACATCTGTAGATGGACACACATGGAGGTTTAAAGAAGGTGTTTGTTGTTGCTCCATACTCTTTCCCCACATCTACACATACCTCACGTGGCATGCATTGAGTTTTTCTCCACTCATTATCAATACCTGCCAAGTTACAGGGAAAGCTCATAAGTTATAACACAGGTTTTCTTAATAGTTCAAAATCAGATTCCCCTGAAAGTAGTTAAAACTTGCTTATTAAATGGACCATGTTTATATAGAAACTGAGTTCTGTAAAAGGCAAACACAACAGCAGCAACGATAATATCAGAGTTCTTTAATGCTAGTTCTCTAACAGTAGTCTTATTACCAGGGCTTATCCACACTAACCTCCAGAGCTTTCCCCGTGCAAACCCACTCTTTAAAGCTGAATTGTGGAAAACCTGGATTGTCATTTGTTGTGCTTCAGCTTTAAAAGTGGGGAAAACTCCAGGGTGAAAGAAGAGCACTTGGATATGGAGCTTTAAAGCATGGACCTGTACATGGAAACAGCAGGACAAAAGGTAAGTGGGGATAAGTCCTTAGGTACACTTGAGCCACTGGTGAAAATGCTTTGTGGAGCAGGCTAGAATAGTCTCTAGAAAAGGCACTGGGGATCTAAAGAAGGGCAGAGCAAGCAGGGGGTGGGGCTTGCAGGTGGATTTAGGGAAGAATAGGAAGAAGAAAGAGGAGCAATAAAGGAGAGAGAGGTATGGCAGCTAGAGACCAATGAAAGAGTATCAGAAGGCAAGTTACATAAATTAAGGGAAGGCCAAAAAGGAGGATTCTGAGAAGGAAAGAAAATCTGACAGATGGAATGGAAGAACAGAGGTAGATATGCCTTGGAGCATTAGAGGTGAGGAATCACCTACTGGCTTGAAATAACCAACCAAATATTTGCTCGTAGGTTTCTAGCACTTATAAATGATTATTGAATGGTTCCTTAGCAAGGTTCCAATAGTTGTGAGAAAACCTAGCTGGAAAATATCTACAGAAGAGAAGAAAACTGATGTTGCTTACCTTTAACAGATGTTGTTTGAGTGGTCATATATGTAGTCACAAAAAGGGGATCTGTGTCTGTGCAGAGCACCATCCTGGAACTTTCTAGAACTCAAGCCTGAGAGCTGATGCTCATGCCCCTAACCCTCAAAAGGGAGATATATCTCTTTTACATATGCCTGAAGGGGCAGTACGTGCACTTCTATTCAGTTTCTTCATGATTGTTGTGAGAATATCCCACCAAAAGAAAGGAGGCACCTGCAGTGGGAAAGGAGGGTGGATTGTGACTTCACAGATGATCACTTGAAGAACATCAGTTACAGGTAAGCAACGTGTTTTTCTTCTTCATAGACTCTGTGCAGCTACACATATGGAAGACTAGCAGCCAACATACATGGAAGGAAGCGCTGGTGTTATTATGGGGGGGGGGGAGTTGTCCAGAAGAGCTCTCCCAAAGATTGAGTGAGAGGTTATTTTCACTTCCAACACACAATGCTTTATTAAAGTGGAAATATAGCCACTTTGCAGAGTTCTGGTAATATTGTTGGCATCCATCTGTCTCAAGAGACAATGGAGTGGACTTCTGGGGATAAAGTCAAACTGCCACAATAGCAGCATTGAAGTGACCTACCTGGGGCACAAGCCTGGGCATTGTGGATGGATACCCTGGGCTGCCCAGACGACAAGAGCCCTCTCTCGCTTCGCTGATATAGTCCAAAGGAAAGCAGAACAATATGCTTGGGACCAGCTTGGCTGCAATAGCTGCCAGAAGGAGGCGTACAAGGCGCCATCCCTCTTAATGTAATGAAATACCCTAGAAAAAAGGTAGCAGCATCTGGGGAAATGAATGCTATTGGGAAGAAACACAAAAGGCCCTTTTCAGATTCTCATAGCAAGAAAAAAAATGCTTATGTTGTTGTAAAAAGCAACTGTTCTGTCCAGATAGAAAACTAAAACCCCTCCAATCATCTATGTACAGACAAGACTGGAACAATTAATCCACATGACTGGAACCATCAAGTCCCTTTGGAGAAGAAAATGTGAAACAATCTAAAGGAGGACAAACCACAAACTTTTCTCTGTCGCCATTCAAATAAGTTGAATCAAAATGCAGAGCACATTGTTCACCAAGTATCCTTGCCAACATGTGTTCACCAAAAAAGATTCTTAAGAAGAACACATCCTGAAGCTGAAATGAATTCAGGGAAGCTCGCACCAGCAGAGTAAGAACTGAGGGAAACTCCAGGACTGGACACTGATACTGGGAATTGTAAACTGTTAAGACCTTTTAAGGAAAATGTAACAAATGAATGAGCAAACACTTAATATTACTTCTAAAGGATGGTTTAATGAAGAACCCAGATGTTAAGAACAGCTAAAACCTGAACAGCAGGTTGAGCAGATAATCTGAAGCATGATTAGTGGAGTTTGCAAAAGCAATAAGAATTGAATCTATTTCATTGTATAGGATTGCCTCATGGAAGAATATCATTTTAGAGATCCCTAAGAAAGCTGTATATTCAGGCTGTTAGGCTCATCATTAGTGCATTTGGGTGCACTATGGTCAGTGGGGATGCAGTTTGTCCCATTGAGTGACACCATATGTAGCACTCTTGGAATGATGCAAAAGTGCAGGAAGATATGTAGAGAGGTTCTTTCAGTAGTGGGGATCTTGATCTGCTCTGCTGCAGAATTAATGGTATTTAGAGATGGTGAAAAGGTCCATCAGGGGATAACCCTAGAGACTGAAGCAGATATCAAAGGTTCAAGGCCTTGAACAAGTTTGTGTCAGCTTGTCTCTTTCCAATATTGATTCCAATATTAATAAGGAATAGGGAATAGGGAATGATGATGTTGAAGCCAATACCATCAGTACTGGAAGTTTATAGAATTGAAGGAATAAAAGAGGATACTGTTCCAGGAAGTGGCATTGATATTGAAGCTGAAGCTGTAGTCTCAGGGTCCAGAGTTAGGGTTCAAGATGAGATGTTCTGAACAAGAGCAGTCAGCAGGTCGGTAGGAGTTTCAGCAAGGTCAAACTTGGAAGTGGTGCTGGGCTTGCTACTTGTGTTGAAGCAAGTGGTTTAGGATGATAGTAGTATAATTGTAATGCTGCTTTTCCTTTGATTCATGAACGGGAAACCTTTTTTTGGATGAAACCAATTCTATGGGCTCAATTCTTTCCTTTTCAGTCTTTGTCCTTAAGTCTATTGGTAAGCAGAGACTGATGAACTGACACCTGGGTCAGAAGGTTGGTAGGGACAGTGGATAAACTGAGATTGGGGACAGATATGTTGTCTCTATGTAGGAAGTCTTGGGTACCATACTTTTTGTGGTCTGCAAAGCTCATTCCACATAGATAAGAACAGCAATTCCTATGAGCTTCCTTAGTGCAGTTTTGGCAATGAACAGGAATCAACTGTTTAGCTTCCTAAACAGATCAGATAGCAGTTATTATCCTGCTTTAAACAGCTTGCTATCAGAGGTGGGAATCTTCCACAATTTCAGCACTTTTTAAGAGAGATCAGCTGCACCATAAGTGCATGGGGACAAAATGCAAGGGCAATACTACCAAATATAAATGTAGCTAGTGGTTATTTTTTAAGAAAGTTAAAAAGAAAAAATGAACCTTTTTTTTTTTTTTACTAAAATAGGGTGAAAGAGCACTTTCTTGAGAAAATTTTCCGTTTTGTTGCCTTTGTGGTAGTCAAAAGAGAAATGAGTGGGAAGGCACATACTCAAGGCATGCATGATTAGAAAACATCTCCTGATGAATGGATGGGGGTGGGCATGACACCAGCTTCTGGCCATGAGCTCTAGAAAGTTTCCAAATGGTGCTTTGCTCAGCTGCAGAACCCATATATGTGCCTGCACAGAGACTACAAAAACACAGGGCTGGAATGAAAGTACTATAGATCCAGACCTATTTCCAGATAAAGGCTTCCTTGTCGTAACTTTCCACAATTCTAAAGCTAGCTATCCAAACTGGAATGGGATGCTAAATCCTCCTCCTAGTCTAGGACTGGGACACAAAACTAAGGCTGCAGTTTTAACCCCTTAATTTTGGGCTGGCTGGGTGGGTGGTTGTGCTTCATCAGCTGGCCTCCTACAAGTGCAACCTCCCACTTCTGTCCACAAAACTGCTGGTAGTATCCCTGCCAGTGGGCCCAATTGCTGTGCCAGCCTGCAACTGGAGCATGAATAGGGCCCTATCTGACTTTCCTATTTCCTTTAACTGCTACCACCAAGAACACACATGGCAGCGGCAGCAGGGAGTTAGGATTGCTCTATTGAGTTGTTACATCCAGAGACTGCATCAGGAGTTACACCTGTCAAATCATGTGAATCAAATGACTCCTAGATATCGGCAGATAATACTTCCTGCTTCTTTGGTCTGGATAATTTGTCAGACAAACTGCCAGATGAGCATATCTGTACTTCACATTTGGTCTGCCCTCCTTTTTCCTAGCTTAGATTTCCCTCTGTCTGCTATGCCTAGGTTGCTGATCTTGGTCTTGGAAAAAACCTGCAAACCTCACCTATTTTTCACTATGTACCATATTTTTCTGTGTATAGGGCAATGTTTTTTGCAAAAAGAAAAGTAAAAAATGGGTTTTTCTTATACATGGATGGTGAATGCACAGGGAGGTTTTTTCCTCCCCCAAAAGCTGAACAATTTTGGATGATCTTGGGTGTTGGTGGGGCATGCTCCACTGCTGCCAAAACATGCATGCACAGACCCCACCACTGGGGGTTGCTACACTGGTACCGGTGCTTTGAATATTTAATAAAATATCAAAGTTGTTTTGTTTGATGTTTAAAATACTGATTTCATGATTTTGGGTTTAAAAGGAGGGGGGGTTGCCTTATACATGTGGGCATTTTATACACAGAAAAATATGGTAGCTCAAAAAGCTGCAAACAGTTATGGAATTTCTTGTCATTAGTGAGGGTTTGAGGTTCTGACTATGCTAAATTATGCTTTAACATAACATTATAGCAGTTTTTCCCCCCAGCATTTAAATTTAAAAAAACTGATTTACAGTATCTGGTGGACATTAAATTTTCAACACTTACTTTTCAAGATCTCAGGATTGTAATGTGCCGCAGCAAATTTTACTGGATTTGAATCCTCTGATCTTGCATCGAAGCTGGACTGTTCCCTATTGTGTTGCCAGCTCCCTTTCCTCAACTGACATTTGAACATTTTCCAGTATTCTGGATAAAGTACTGTCATGAGTTCATCCACACTGGATACAGACCGCAACTGCTCTTCCAACTCTTTACTTGCATGAGTCTGCTAAAAAAGAGCAAAAATAATTACTTTCCACATTATACAAATGTTTATATATATATTAATATGATCAACGGCAAGTAAGGAAGTCTCTTTCCCTATAGAGACTTCATTATCAAAAATGCATTCAAGTCTGTCTAACTATCTACCTACCTAACTTCTTAGTTTTGTTAAGACTGTTATGAAAGTACAAGGAGGAAACAATATATTGACTTTGTTAGCCCAGTATATTGCCATTATTGGTCCAAACAAACTGCCACTGGGGACACTTACAAATGAACACTAACACCAAAACTAGTTTTAGGCAAACATGAATAAACTACAAACAAAGATTCTTCGTTCAATATCACATAGGCTGCAATTCTATGCATGCTTATTTAGAAACAAGGCAGGCAATGTCAGCTAAACTTATAGAGCCTTCAAACATTGATTTTGTGTCCCACTATGACAATGATTTAGCATAAAGTAAAAACAGTGCACTTTAATTTGATGAAAAGAAACATTTAAAAATTAACTAAGAACCAGAGGGGGGGGCAATGCAGTGAAAAAGGCAGCAAGGGGAGGAAGAAATAAAAGCAGGTTAATGATCTTTTCTGAATTTCATTGTTCCATTTTCTATAACTATATCATTGTATACTTTTAATACAGTGGTAACTCAGGTTACAAACACTTCGGGTTACAGACTCCTCTAGCCCAGAAGTAGTACCTCGGGTTAAGAACTTTGCCCCAGGATGAGAACAGAAATCGCATGCTGGCGGCAGCGGGAGGCCCCATTAGCTAAAGTGGTACCTCAGGTTAAGAACGGTTTCAGGTTAAGAACGGACATCCGGAATGAATAACCAGAGATACCACTGTATATATATATATATTAAATAATAGTTTTTAAGAGTACACATTTACAATACACCTTCTGGATTATGTTGAAGCAGTCTTTTTGAATTTGCAGTATGTCCTGCAATTAACGTGAGGAAAAAATAAAATAATTAACAACATACTTTTTTCAAGATAATGGTCTCAAATATTTAATGCCTTCACCCTAAAGGAATTTCAGTCACATGAAATTCTCCTTTATTCTATCTTGTCATAATGTAATAGCCCTGCCGGCTGATGAACTTAGAATGAGATTTAAGCTACTTCAGGTGCAAGGAAGTTTATTTTGCATGAATAATTGGGGAAAGTATATTCATTGTATATATTGTTACCAAAAAAAAAACAAAAAAAAAACACCCCAGCAACTGTAAAAAAAATAATCCTCAGTTGCTTAATGAAATAAATGCTCAAGCATCTGCTCAATCTAGCAATACAAACTAAATGTAGTTTATACTTTCACACCATGGCTTTTTTCTTTAAGTCATCCCTGGTGCCCATTATTAATTATAAAGGTCAAAGTACTTAATACTTGGCTGAGCCTGCAACTCATAATTGATGGTGTGACATGCAATAATACAACTTAATGGATTTATAGTGATCATAGTTGTCAGCACATTTCATTTTCAAGGATATGTTGTGAGAGCTTTTAATGGAAAAGTGATGTCTATAAACCTTTGTGTTCATTTACTTGTATGCAGGACAAATTGGTTAATGGAAATGTATCAAGAGGGGCCAAAAGATGTGTTTATATGGTTGGCTGCTGGTTAGCAGAGACAGAATTATAGCTGTTGGTGCTTGGTGTTTGTGGAGTCCACCAGAAGAAGACAACAATGATAGAATAAGGGCATTGGAGAAGAAAAGGAAGGCCTGAGAAGCAGGCTTGGTTGCTGGCTTAGTCACAGACAAAGGGAGAACCTGTAAATCATGTCCTGAAAAGGAGCAGTACTGCACTGCTGGCTCTGAACTTCCAATGCCACCCCAATTTTGAAACTGCAAAATTCTGACAAGGGCTCTCCTCCTCCTGGAGGGGAGGTGTTGTGAGCGGGAAACGATTCCCGCATCACGCAGGGGGCGTTCTGCCCCCTGCCCCGTCGTCATGACTGGTGCGCCATGCCCCCGGCTGGGCACCCAATCGGGATGCACAGCGGGGGCGTGGCTTGCTGCTCAAATGCGACCGCGCCAGCCATTCTCTCCATTGCGCCCCCATTTTCGCTACGAGTCACCCACCCACCACTCCCTTTAGAGGTTAGCTTTTCCCTTGACTTTGCTAAGGACCTCTGGTTGGTCGCCCTGGTTGCTTGGGGGGCCTGGTAGGAGTTCTTTCCAACTGGCAAATTGGCACTGACCTCTTGGTTTTTTCCGCCTACCTCGTAGCAATCGTCACAACTTTCATGGTATTTGGCGGTTAGGCATTGGAATGTGTTGTTGGTGTGTGGAAGGGCAGGTGTGGCCATCACCTACCCCTTCAATTTTGGGTATTCCGTTAAAGGAATCCGGCGGTTGTGGATCCTGTCCGATGCCTGTGTGGCAGGGGGCCATGGCACGACTCTCGGTGACATCAGGGGTGAGCTTATAGTTGTATTAGCATCAACAGGCTCCCCTGTCTGGTGGTTAACCCCTCTTCAGACTTACCCCTCTCCGAGTGAGTGGAGTCTAATTTTCCGTGGTCCAATGCCTAAGCCAATACCTTCTCACATGCTATAATCAATAAAGTTGTGGCCTTTTCTTGCCCATTAACCCAATATACCGTGTCCATGTGTCTTTATTCCCCAAGCGGGGATCGGGTCCTCAAAAACACAACCATTTTATCCAATCATTATGTTATTAACAATTTTATGTAACAATGCATTTTTAGAAATGGAATGTTTTCTGTGAAAAATGTTCTGCCACATATTATTCCCCAATTACAATTCAAAACTCAAGCTATATGCCTGGTCTTCTCCTTGCCTACAGAGACACATACTTGGGAGGTAAAGTGCCTTGCAGCGGTGAGATGGAAGGCTATCAGTTACTTGACAGAAGGCGGAATGCAAGTGCTGTTTAAAGCTTTAAATAGTAGCTTGTGTTAATGAAAGGGAAGCATCTGTTCTTCATTAATTAAAATATTATCTTTCATATAGTTGTATTATATTTTCATTATGATAATATCCTTATTTACTATATAACATTTTAATTTGTGATAATTTAGTGGCCCACATCTCAAATGAATGTTGCTCATCTCACTTCTTACCACTGTTTATAATATGCTATAAATTAATAAGCAACATTCTTTCTCTGGCATATGTTTGAATGGTAATAACTAGAACTTTTGACTAAACAGAAGTAAACTATAGCCCAAATGTTTAACAAGAGACGATCAAAGTATGTGAAGTAAGCAAATATAAAGAGCAATTCTGGAGAAAATCCACCCCCGCCTTAGTCCATGAGTAACATGCAATAAGTTCCAATGCAAATGCTGAACTTTATTCCAAAACAAATGGAATAATGTCATAAGGCATGGATTCAGAACTGTTAAACAATCCTTGTATAGTTTACAGATCTGAACAGAAATATTAATCGGAAGACCACCTACTTTGTCATGTTGCCTTGTTCTAACAAATATTTCAAATTTAAGCATAGTAGGCCATGAAGAAAAAACCTACATAAAGGATTGCCAAGCCAACAAATGGCTCAGTTCAAAAATAGTGAAAAGAATTGTCAATAATGACAACATAAATTAACTCCCAATAATTCAGTGCATAAATAACATCTCAAAAAGTAAGAAGGAATGTAAAGGTAGTGATAAGCCAAGCATAAACATAAAAAGGAAGACATTTTATTGGATTTGTCTTTTGCTGTAGAAGGCCCTATGTCTGCGGAAACATGGTGGGCTTCACAAGCCTGCAGGTCACCTTATAAATAATCAGGAATGGCACAGTGAAAAAATATGTTTGCCATTTCAATGACATTTTAACTTGCAATCCACAGGCCATTTAGAACGGATCTGCCCCTCCCACACAAATTAGTATCAAAGACTCCCACAAGCAAAACCAAGTATTTCACAAGTCAGTTCTGAAATGTGGATCACGAGTGTTATTGGCTTTTCTTTCTTCTTGTAAATGTACCATCTGCTGCAAATATTGAAACTGCTGTTTATATATACATTCACTGTAAAATACCTCTGATGATACAAAGGCTATTAGATGAAGGAGAAAACTGGTTTTAACATAGGCATTTGTAATCGCCACACCATACAAGATCTGCATAAGGAGGCATGCAGCCATGGCTTCCAGCTGAAGGAAAACCAAGTGAATAAAATTTCTCTAAATGAGATTTTACTGCCTACATCATTGCTAACCCAAATATTATATAATACTTTTTGTATGGAAATCAAGTTCTTTCCTTTTAAGTCATTTGGAACCTTTTCTTTATCTTACTGCCAATGGATGGAGAGTGGTCTGCTGTATAATCTGCGTTGGAGAAATTGCCATTTTGCTACAAGAGAGTAAGAATCTCTCTTCTAAACCTTCCTCTCCAACAGCACTGTCCTGTAATGGAAAGTGCTACATATCCTGCACATTGAAATATAAGCTAGGCAATGTTTCCATTAACAGGTAGCTATTTAATAATAGCATTTCAGTATTAAAAATTGGCACTCTATTTGCAATCTTACCTTTCAGTGTTCAAAGAAAAATGTTTTCTGAAGAAAAAATGTGAGAAATTCAGTTTTATTTTACTATTTATTTCAGTTCAGATTACCAGTATTTTCACTGTAAAGGAACATGCAAAAGGTAAAACTGAAATATTTTAATATGTTTTATTTTTATTTCATGACTGTCTAGTCCAACATTTTGATATTTCAAACAACATATCTTTCTTTGTAATTCAGGGTTATAAGTATTATGGGTGTGTGCAAAGTTTCAGTCAAGAACTAATTCTGTTTAAGTGTTCCACTTAAATATGCTATAAGCTGCATGATTTATCAAATCCAGTATATAAACAGAATAGTCTGGTCTTACGTTGAGAACAGTTAAATATGGTTCTTGTGTAACATGTAAAAAAGTTCAAGAAGCAAGTTAAGATGAAATATTTCCATGAGAATTTCTAACATTTTACACAGAGAGAAACTTCCAGGCAGACACTAGAAATATTATAAAAGGTCACTGGGTGTCAGTTGTTAATTTACAATGGCTAAAAAGTCCAATTCCAGATGTTAATAAGGTCTCACATTGAATATATTAAGTGGTCACTGTGCTTCCTGCATGTAATAACCAAAATGATTTAAGAAACAGCTGAATTCATTTTAAAAATTTCTTCAATTTTCCATAATTTAAAGCTCTGCCCATCATACAAACCAAAGAAAGAGTTTGTGGAAAACTTTTAATTGAACACCATGTTTACTTGCACACCCAAAATAAGAAAATAATAGAAAAATGAGATATGCTAATATCTTCAACCTAGTTGACCTAAATCAGAAGTACAGCATCTCATTCTACCTGCATAGTCACATCATATATTCCCCTCTCTGTACAGATATGTAATTTCCCTACTTTATAGCTGAAAGCATATCCGGCAAACTGTAGAATATAATTATTATAATCAGATGATATACAGGTAGCTCACATCTTATGCAGGGGTTACGTTTCTTGACATTGAATGTACAGTATAAGCAAAACTGCGTAAGGCCGGAATACCCCCAGATACCATGTGAGACCAGCATAGAAAGGTACCATCTGGATCCAGCCTTGGATAGAAAGCTACTCAAAAAGGAAGTGTCACTCCTGGATCTTTTCAGCATTTCTTGAAAGTTTTATGGTGATTTTTTACTTAAGATCATTCTGAACACAGAAAAAAGTAAGGTGCATTGCAGCGTGGTGCCAGGGATTTATTTATTTTTTAAGCTACACTTGCCTCCAGGCTTTCTCCTGCAAACTTTGTTTGCACATTATTTTTCCTAAATGCACTCATATTCTTGTGATGTGTCTTTTGAAATAGGCATATCTACAAGAAGTAACTGGAACGGAGAGTATGGCCATATAAGGACATCTTTTAATCCTAATCTTCCTTTAATGTGCATTTCAAGAAAAGAAAAATCCAGGATCACTTACTAACTGGAAATCTGATACTGGTATGCTGACAATAAGCACTGCATTGCATTTGGTCTTTATTAATTAATTAATTAATTAATTATGTATGCCACCTTAAACCCACGGGTCTCAGGGCAGTTCACAGGACAGAATTTGGTCTTGTATGCTTCCTGTTTTTTTTGTCTTCACCTGTTCTTCTAAACCCAATCCAAACTGTTTGGCCCTGCTTTGTTCAAAGTGTCATTTGCCAGTTTGGATGTAACAGCAGGCTATCATACATAATTAATTGATTAATATTATTACTAGCACTACTTGTACTTTCTTTTTAACCACCCTATTTCTGAAGATCACATGACCTTGTAAAGTATGAAAGCAACAATAAAACATACCCAAATAATACAACAAAGAATCTTAAGATGTCAACATATTAGCATAATATTAAATATTCTGTATCTGGATTAGCATCATGTTACTCGCAGTAAGGATTATAGAGGGTGAGGTTGGTTTGTTAGTGGAAGAATATCCAGCTGGCCTCCTGATTCAAATTTGCTTTTTTTCATTCTCCCTCCCTCCCACCTCCCAAAAGGGATGTTGTCCTGCAGGTCTCAGCCAAGGATGAGCAGCCAGAGCATGAGATGCTGGCAAACAAGATATCATAGAATCACAGAGCTGAAAGGTGCCCTGAGGACTATCTAGTCCAATCCCCTGCAATGCAGGAATATTTAGCTGGCCTGTACAGGGATTGAGCCTGCGACCTTGGCATCACAAGCACCACACTCCAACCAACTGAGCTAACTGGCAGGTATTCAATGGACCATAAGATGGAGCAGGCCAATTCGCTCATTGCACTGCTAAATAAACAAATGGTTGTGCAGTACCATGTTGTGCTTATGTACTTGGAACTGAATGGATGCTAGTAGTTTGATACCCCCCAGGTGAAATTCTGCTCTGGTACAGAACTGGGCCGCTCTCAAGTGAGAGATAGGAGAGGAGTATTAGATGGCCCGGTGGGTATGGGGCATGAGCCCATTAGTGCTTTAGAGATGGGAAGAAAAACATCCTTTGTATGTGGGTTGTAATCCTGTTGAGTATGAATGGTTTATGTGTGAATAGGTAGTATCTGAGGTAGTGAATAGTGAATGACTGTAGTGGTTGTGTGAGATGGATAGTAAGATTGGATGAGTAATTGTACGAATAATGTGTTTGATTGTAATTTCATACTGCCTTGTAAAAGGTTAAAGGTAAAGGGCCCCTGGATAGTTAAGTCCAGTCAAAGGCGACTATGGGGTTGCGGTGCTCATCTTGCTTCAGGCCAAGGGAGCCAGCGTTTGTGTGCAGACAGCTTTTCAGGTTGTGTGGCCAGCATGACTAAACCGTTTCTGTTGCAATGGAAGCCAGAGCGTGCGGAAACACAGTTTATCTTCCCGTTGCAGCAGTGCCTATTTACCTACTTGCACTGGTGTGCTTTCAAACTGCTAGGTTGGCAGAAGCTGGGACAGAGCAATGGAAGCTCACCCCATCACGCAGATTTGAACCACCAACCTTCTGATTAGCAAGTCCAAAAATCTCAGTGGTTTAGACCACAGTGCCACCCGCGGGCCTTGTAATGCTCTCTGAACTTACTTGATATTGTTTTTATGTATAGGGATATTGCTGCTGTGTTTGTGTTTTTTCTTATGTAAATCATTTGACATAGTTTTAATGTACTTATAGTTTTATGATTGCAAACCACTTCAATATCTTCAGCTAATATAAGCTGCCTATAAATATATATTTTTTTTGGGGGGGATTACGTTAAATTAAGCTAATCCAGAGAGTCTTACCTCAGAAACTCAAAAGACAATATACTCTGACGTTTCAACTTCCTCCAAAGTCTTGAGTAAATAAATATGTCCTTAAAAGAGGCTGGAAAGAGCACTGAGGGACTCAAAGTGAGGGAGTTCCAACCAAGATATAGGTTGAATACACCTTCATGTGTGTGAAGTTGAGAAGAAGCAGAAACAGATATGAATCACTTGAGCTTACGGTTCATTCTTAACTCTCTGAACTATAGAAACATTTGCATTCAAGCTTTCCTTTTCTGTCTGAATGCACTCTCTGTTTTATTCATCTTATGCCAATTGTAAGACCTACTTGTACAAGACTGTGTATTTTATGTATTCTGTAAATATAACAGGGTAACTTTTGAACATAATGCTAAACCACCATTTGACACTATAGGAATGAGCTGAGTAAACCTTGTAGGCTTTCCTACTCCAGCACAGATGAGGAAAGGATATTTAAGTTTTTGCTTTTGTTGTTTATTGTGCAAACTGAGAGTGTTAACTGAGAGAGTGATGAGTGTTCACTACAGTTTAGGGCAGAGGTTGTGAACCTGTGGCATTCCAGATGCTGTCTCGTTAGCCACAGCCATCATGGCTAATGGCCTTGTGTGATGGAAGTTGCAATCTAGCAGCACCTGGAGGGCCACAGTTTAGCTAACCATGATTTAAGGAAACAAGTCAATCATGAATTATGGTTTGAAGTTGGCTTCCTTCCTTCCCTAAACCTTCACCAGCCTGATGTCCTTCAGATATTTGGGACTACAGCTCCCATCCAGCATAGCTGGAGCGCACCAGGTTGGTGAATGATGCCTTGAACTATAGTTAAGACAAATCAGAGTTTATCTGGCTTCAGACACAAAGAGTAACTGCAGTTAGTTGAAGATAAACGCAAAAGCTTCCTATCTCCTTGCAGCAGTACCAGAGGAAGGGGGGGGGAGCACATAAGTTTGGAAAACCTTGCATGTATGCTAAGCCATAGTTTAATATTACATGCAAACTAATATTAAATAATATCTAATTTATTTGCTAAACTACATATATTTCTATTGTATTTCCATATGACTAAGACTTCTTGTTGCTGTGAATGTCACTTCCACAAACCTGTTCTAATTTCCCTTATTGAGTTTATTTTGATGAAAATATTTTGCATAGATGCAATGTACCCCTCTCAAAAAAATGAAAGTGAACTTGAAAACGGAGCAATTAATTATCATGTCAATAGTAAACCCCAAAAGGGATTAGATTTAGTGTTTTTTTGATAGATAAAATAAATAAATGCAAGGGAGAGGGGAAATGAAATACATATGGACACAAATGTATTTTAAAAATGCAACTTAGTAGTTAGCCAGAATGTAACATTTTGAAGATCAAAATATATTTATTTAATGGTTTATATAACATCAAAACTGCAATGCACCAATATTTTCCTTTCTTTCCACAACAATCAGATATAGCCATTACTCAAAATATTTTGACAAAGAAGAAAGGAAGTCTTTATTACCATGAAAACAGATTTGAGTCAACTAGTATATTAGATTTATGCCACCTGCCTCCTGACATTTGCTTGGCATACGTAATGAGTCCAGGAATTCTAGCTACCATGGCTGTTATGAAATGCCAAAATAGATTATGGGTGCCGCAAAAATGATGTCTATAGTAAATGTAACATAGCACTTGTTCTCTTTGTGCTTAGCTTATTCAGGAATTTTTAGAAAAGTGCAACCTGTGCAGTTAATCATACAGTGCAACTCATACAGCACGTTGGCAACAAACATTCACACAGTTGTTCCAAAATAATTTTACACCATTTATCAAATATGTGAGAAAGAGACAATAAATGCCATGAAAACTTACAAACTGCCTAAAATAAAGTGAACTTGCAATTTCAGATATTAGGTTCTTACAAATTATTGCCTCAGTTTTTCGTTTTTTCTTGTTTTTTAAATAAGTTCAAGAAGGTTCAAGAAAAGGGTAAGTTCAACGTTGTTCCCGGTAGCTGTGAGGTGCTGATGAAGCAGCATATGAAGTAATAAAGAAGACAGGGTGCCAGCGTTCTATCCCCGTTTCGCCTAGCAGTCCATGCAGTTGAGAGGCTGCTGCTGTTCTTCAGTTGTCTCGTGCCATGGATGCGTCTACTAGTGCTAACTGATAATAATCCAAACGGAATCTTATCAGAATCAACACAATACACTCCTAGGTGTTCAATTAAATACAAAGTAAATATAAATTATCCCACTATATACGAAGAATTAATTTTGATGCAAAAGTTCATAATTATGTCTCTGAAGAGACAATTTCTTGATCTTAAATTGCACGCATCGGGTTTCAGCAATGGATCAATACACTATTGTGTGAATATTTGTTGCCAACGTGCTGTACGAGTTGCACTATTCAGGAATTGTGGCAGAAGCATCCAGTGCATCATTGAATGAGAGCTGGTGAGTGCTTAGGGGCCTGTGCTATGAGATGGAAGCTTCTAGTGTCAATCTCAGGTCTACCGTGAACTTTCTGGTTGTGCTTCAGCATGTCTCACAGGCTCTACTTTATAAGAAAGAATAAAATTAAGCAATCTTACAAGAATGTTGCAAGTTTACCCTGATAATGAATATGAAATGCTTTGATCAATTATAATTATGTATAAATATGTATATTTGTATGTATAAATATTAAGAGGCTATACAATACCTGTATTTAGAGGATTCCCCTAGGACTCAATAGAATCCTGTTGCCTGGGCTGTCCATTGACCAATGTATGTAAGAGAATGCTTCTAGGAATGGAAGCCCCTCACCTCTCTGCCATGGAAATTATTTGTGCTCCAGAGCAGAAGTAACTTGTAGAGTACAGAGAGAGACAGTTAGATGGGCATTGGTGTTCATAGACATTTCATTCTCTGCAATGACATGGGTTGATATGCAGGAGAAGAGAGAAAGAGAAACTTATGTGGATCCCCATGCAGAGGACTTGTACCTGTACTCAGAACTGATTGGGCCCTAACCCCTCCCAAAACTGAAAACACTATTGCAATGTGCATTGCAATGTATTTGATATAGGAAGTTTTATGTCTGGTAAAAGTTTGTTTAACTGTTGCCTGGGGCCTTAACTGACAGCTGTGCGGAAGGACTGGTGTATGCATATTTTGATTGATGGGTGCAGGTTTAGAATTTTCAGTTGGATAGCATGATTGGCTGGGACTGGAGTAGAAGAGCCAGAATAGTGCTGGTCAGCAGAGGGAGAGTTAGGGTTGTCGGTGCTTGGCGTTTGTGGAGTTGGTCAGAAGACAACATCAAAGGAAGAGGTTTGTTAAAGAAAAAGGAAGACCTGAGAGGCAGATGGATTGGCTTGGTGGCTGAAGACTTGTTGAGTATGGCTGAATCATTTGGCTTAGGTTGAACAGACAAGATCTCTAGGGTAGTACAGGAAGACCCACCTGCACTTCAATAAGTCAATAAAGGGTTTGGGGAAAAGGCTTCTGGCAATAGTTTTGGTGAGGCTTAACTGAGATGGAGAGATTAAAATGGTAATTTGGCTAAAGGGTTTTAACAGGATAATCAATACCTTAAACAACCTTAGTTGTTTAAAAATTTCTGAGAACAAGCATTCAGAACAACATGAAATATGAAAACAAAAGGATCATTTTAAAATGTTTTTAAAACATGCAATAAAAATCACATCACTTACGCACTTCTTAGAAAGTGCTTGATGTTTGATACAGTCCCATGATTATATCTGATGTTCCTGTGTACTCCATTTGTGAATATTTTTCCAAAATTTGCAATTCAGAGATCAAATAGAATGCTAGACTGTTATTATTTTCACCATAACTAAATGAGAATGGAATTTTTCATATAGACTTCTAACCTTCCTTCCATTAAAGGACAAAGAAAAGATTCCTAAACAATGTTGCAGAATAACAGGGAGAAGCAATAGAATAAATCTCTACAGAATGTCTGAGGGGATCATTTTTAGATAGGTGAAAGCATCGAGCTCTTAAAGAAGTAAGGCAGAGGTACTAAATAACAAAAGAGTGGGTTGCTTTTTTCTGATTTTTGGAAACTCTTCTCCATCTACCCCTAGTGAAAGAATAGGCTGTTTTTCTATCTCTTTAGAAAGGTGGGGGTGGAGTGGGAGAAAGAATGAGAAAAATTCTCAGAGATGCATGGATTTGGTATGGCATTTACCTTTTATTGATGATGAAAGGTAGGTGAGGGGTGTGTTCTTCTTTTAACAACAACAATAGGCCCCCACCCAAACACCCCTTGCATAGATTTCTGTAGCCTCACTGGCTGCCACACTTCCTAGAATGCATTTCCTAATGGGGAAACTAATGGGTAGCTAAAGAGGCTCCCTCTGGAACACCTAATGGTGGGACAATTTTTCTTCTCCCTTTTCTAAAAAAAGAGAGAGAGAGATGTCCATAGTTCTGCCAGGTTTGGGTGGTTATGTCCAGAATCAGTGCAATTTTCATAATAATTATTTTAAAAAATAATTAGAAAGAAGATATTCACTGCCGAAACGAATGAGTGTCATTAAGAAATGATATCTATGTCAGTATCTTATCCTCCTTGTGACAAAGCAGAGTTCCATAGGATGACAGAAATCTACATTAAAATTCCAGACATTTTATCCCATATCTGGAAATAATTAGTTCACTCTATTTTCAGGCTGTTGAACTGGATTTCTGTATCTCCAGTTATTTATAGGAGCTGAAAGAAAACAAGAGACATATTATAGATAGTTTTAGGTTTCATGTTCACAAACTCTTACAATGTGAATAGCTCTCTCCATTTAAAATTCCTTTGTGTGGAATATGAATTTTTGGTCTGTACAGACATGATATATTTATCTTTTTGAAACCCTGAATATGCTTGTAAGAGGCATCTGATATTTAAAACACCCACAAGGAACTCAGAATGAACAACCCTATCCAAAGTTTGTGAACATGATGTACTACACGGTAAAACTAGCTGTATATTTATTGAGGTGGGTTTTCAATGGTGCAATGACAGTGTCAAGATTCATGGGTTTCTTAAAAAAGGTGAAAGCTTCTCAACAAAGCAAGGAAGTCTGCCAGCCACAATCAAAAGCACTTACAGCTACCCTCTGTAAGTCAAAATCATGCCACATGTTAATTTTTGAAGGGCACATAGAAAAAGTATATCTTATGCATAAGCACATGCAGATTCGTGCATGTGAAAAAATGAGAGATTCTATGTCTTTATGAGAGGACAGATCTGTGTCCCTGGGTAAAGCACACAGCCCAAGAAGAATTGGCTTACCAAACTCCTTGTGAGAAAGGTTTTCTTATTAACATCCCCCACCTTTCTGCTTTAATTTCAGTTCATGATATCCAATATGTCAATAACAAGATACAATATTCAGGATGAGGTCCAACCAGTGAGTTTACAGCAAGGGGGAAAGTCAGAACTACATAGCTCTAAGCTTACATACATCACTAAAATCTCATTCTACCCACACTCCAGCAATTTAAGATAGTAATTTATTGACAAAGACTTATTGCTTAAGAAAAAAAAATTCTCAAAACTAATGTACTAAGTTCAATTCTACCTCTTATTTTTCACATCTGTTGAGACAAAGGATAATTAATTAAAGTTAAAAATTTATAAAAACCTGTTTTATAAATTCTGTTCTAGTTTTAGGAGCACTATAGTCACAAATGGCTGTTATGGAAAAAATGTCTTTGGGAAAAGCTGATATAGGCTTTACTTTCCACTGCAGTTTTCGGAACTTCCAGTTCAAGGCAAAATGTCTATCAAAGCTGCAAGGAACTGCTTGTCTGAGCTATATTTCAGTTGTTTTAGAAGTACACAGTACTGCTAAGTATAAACAGTCAGCTGACAAAACATATACAATGTGATATAAAGGAACTTAAAATCATAACATTTCAAAGCAACTTTTATTTATATTGAACATCTGGGTTGGTGTATGCAACCTGTTCAGCTCAGAGAACCATACTAGAAAAGTATCCTCAGTTGGGGGGATGCAATTAATTTACACATCAAATTTCCATTAATGTGGTAAAGAAAAAATCACAAAGGGTTGGAATGTCACACATTCTTTTTAACCATTTGAGCAAAGCTAAAAATGACTATTTATTTAAACATTTCTATCCCAGCTTTCATTTAAAAAAACCCAAGGCAGCTAAATAGAAATAAAATAACAGAAATTATATAAACTACTAAAACACTGGAGAGTCACAGTTAAAGCAAAAGAAGTCTGGCTATTCTATCAAAGCTGTGATTTTCTAGATATTGTTGGGCTACATTAGCCTCAGCCAGCATGGCCAAACATCAGGGATGATTGAAGCTGTAGTCAGCAACCTTATTTATTGTAAGCCACCCAGTGAACTTTATGTCAGGAGGTGGTATGCGAACATCACAAATAACAAATGAGTATCTCTGAAGGGCTACAGGTTCCCCTACCCCTACTCACACAACTGAAGGCCTTCTTAGAAAGGAAGGCTTTTATACTATGGTGGAAAGTCATCGTGGATGGGACAAGATGACACTCTCTGGGCAAGAGCCTCTAGAGCCTAGATCTACCTCAGAATCCATAAAAGGCTCTATCCCTTCCTCCAACGAAAGAGGAGTTTGGGACAGATAAGAAGGCCTCTGCCAATGATCCTAATGCACAGGCAGAAGAATACATTTCAGATGCCGGTCAGTTCATTGAGATTTCCACTAAATAATGAAAATAATTGTATATGCGTATATATAAATTTACATTCTGCAAAGTTAAGAAGTTAAAGTGCTTAACTGGACAGGGCTGGGGCAGTGTGGCAGGGAAATAGGGACCATGTCAGTATAACAGCATGAAGGCTGCCACCAGTCTGGCATTCCCAACAGTGCACCCAACCACATCCGTGGAAGTAGAAATGATCCCAATGTTAAGAGGGAAGCTTTGGGCTCCACCACACACATTACTATTGGTTGCTTTGCACTCAAAAGCCCAGACTCAGTAGATTCTAGGTAGGTATAAAAACAACAACAACAACAACAACTGTCTTACAATCCTAGAAAGATGCTGCCAACACTGAGCTAGACAGCCCAATGGTCTGATTTGGTATAAGGCAAATCCAGTATTTTTATATTTTCAAACCTTCTTTGTAATGATGAGCACTAGATGCATACTTCTGAGAATAATTCTCAGTCTGCAACAGCAGTGAAGAAGAAGAATAGGAGGAGGAGGAGTTTGGACTTGATATCCCACCTTTCACTCCCTTTAAGGAGCCTCAAAGTGGCTAACAATCTCCTTTTCCTTCCTCCCCCACAACAAACACTCTGTGAGGTGAGTGAGGCCAAGAGACTTCAGAGAAGTGTGACTGGCCCAAGGTCACCCAGCAGCTGCATGTGGAGGAGTGGGGAAGTGAACCCGGTTCACCAGATTACGAGTCCACCGCTCTTAACCACTACACCATGCTGGCTAGAGAAACACTGCACCTCCCTGAACAAACCCAATCATAACACAAAAGATGTATGCACTCCTGTTGGGGTTCTTATGCCCTTGACCATTCATTTCCAATTCATACCTTGCTCTGTTTCTTAAATCTATTCAAGGAGTCATCTTTGCAGCTGTGCATCAACAACAATGATGCATATTACAAGTGGCTGCAGAACAAGAGGACATGATTCTGAAAATTGAGGCAGACTAAATTATCACACAGCAGCTTTAATATTGGCTTCAGCCATAAATTAAGTTCAACTGTGTTGCTTTCTGTAACAACTACAGCAACTAATGGGCTGTGTTTGACTTGTTGGTTGTAAGTTAGGCAGTCTTGTAACAGCAAAAAACACACGCCACCCATTACACTATATCCAACACAAAATGGGGCAGGGGATAGCAAAACAGAGAACACTGTAACAGTAATTACTATCTTAATTAATAGTTTAATTAATTTAATTAACTTAATACCTATAGTATTAAAAACTGCTGACATGATATAGCACATGGAAATTGTGTTAATAAGGATACCACTTTATGTTATGATAGTTTTCAGTTGTAAACACAGAGATACCTTTGAATTTCAACAATTAGCAAACTATCCACACTGGCATAAGTGAAATATTACAGAACAACCTTGCTACTAAGGCATATCAGCTTCATTGTTCTAAACTATTCGCCTTCTTTAGCCAATTGCCACCAGCTAGCTGCACTGGACCCACTGCACCTGATACCTATTTTGGGAGCCTAACATTGCCCTTTCAAGCCAAACTGGCAACCACCATAGAACTTTGCTGTGCTTTCTTCCAAGATAAACGCTGCACAGCACTATCATGGCTGTGCTTGCAGCTCTCTCTCTCTCTCTCTCTCTGTTACACACACATTTGGCCAACAGTTGGAAAGAAAGCCAGAAGTGGCAGCCACCACTGCATTGTGCTGTGCTGTGCTGTGCTATATCTCCTTGGACAAAGAAACACAGTGCAATGCAGTAGAGGTTCTTAGCTATCTAGCAACACAGTTGATCCAATAAAACTAACTATCCAAACAGTTTTGGATCTCTCTCTCTCTCTCTCTGCCCTCCCCCTTCTCTGGAACCAAAACAGCAACTTCTCTTGTAACTGCTACATTCCAGAATGATGAAACGAGTAAAAAACTTACACTATGACACAAATCAAGGATAAAGCCAAAATATCTGTCGAATATTTAGCCAAAAAACAAGAGGGAATTTCATTCTGAAATGTGTACAGAGGTGTCTGGAGTTATTAAGCAGTGTCCTGCTTTTTTACAGGATACTTTTTTTTTTTTTGGTGGAATCACAAATATAGTACATAAAAAAGCTTATGACAAAAACCCTCCCAACAGCTAGATTTAAGGATGTAAGAACCACCCCGCTGGATCAGACCAAGAGTCCATCTGGTCCACCATCCTGTTCCCAGGTATGTGTAGATGAGAATTTTAAGATGCAAACATATGACATCTGCACTGCACACATCTACTATAAGAAACACAGGTGTAACAATTAGTAACAGTGTTTCCCAAAACCATATTCTGCTCTAAGATGCATCTCCAATGCAGCCATTATGTCTTGAATGGCCACCAGGGGGTACTCCTGTGGCAAAAGAGTATGAGTCAGGAAGTACTGTTTCAGCAGGTTTTTTTGCATATGGACAGGGAAATCCCTAGGTACCAAACTTCTGAAAGCTAATAAAGATGCGGCAACCTAGAAATGTTGTAAGTTGGAAATGCTATTTTAGGTAAAACCTGGTGTGTGTGTGTGTGTGTGTGTGTGTGTGTACATGTTTGTATAAGTTATTGTGTAGAAATGCAAAAGGATTTATTCTAAGTTCTAAACCCTTTTGTGGCAGGAACTTGTCTGTTTATCTAATTACCTAATTCTTACCTAATTCTGTAACTTCAACGTACAGTGGTATGCTCTGTAAATAAATAATAATCATAAAGAATAAGTTGGTGAGTGGAACAATTAGGGTGTTGCAACCGCAAACTGATAATGGATGTTTCACAAGGGTTCATTAATGACAGAGAAGAGGTAAACGTGCAACTGATTCCAGAGCCCGAATTCTTGGTGGTTAACACTTAATTAATGAGATTTTAGAAAAGTACTGTGTGGTCTGGACTGGGCAACACAGAAAAAAGTTCACATTTCCTGGACTATAATGCAATGTGCAATCGCTCTGATAAGTGTAGCCTGATATTTTTATAGTTAGTGAGTGGGGCAGCCTAGGGAGTGGATGGGACTTGAGTCCGAGGCACCAGGCAGAAAGACCTGGAGTGCCACATTCCTAGTGTAGGGCTTTGTTGGACTAGATGACCTATACATTCCAAAGAAAATAAAACAGAATATTGAAACTGATGGTGTAAATAAGAAATATGAATGCATAAGCATCTCTACATGCACCCCAAAGTGGGGTTGATATTTGGCAAACAGTGCATCTAATTGCTCAAAATGCATCTCTCCTGAAAGACGCCCTTGGTGGAAACTAATTTAAGTCAGTTAGTGGGCCCTTGGGAAGGGATCAGGGACAGGCAGGGCAAATAGTTGCATGCATTTGAACAGAAGTTCTCCTAAACGCTCATAACATTACAAAGCAAAGTAATATAATATAATTGCTCACATTGGCCATAGGACCCAAACGTTTTGGCTTCCGAAGGATCATATTATAACAGAATCAATGAATATACTTAAAATAACTAAGAGCATAACTTGCCCCATAATGTTTTAATGGAAGTTTGCTGGCATTTGAAACTGGGAGCCTCCACACTGGTTGTCTGCTCAGCAATGTTTGCATTTTCAAAGATTAACAGAAATAACAAATAGATTATCTGTATAGCATGCCAGAAACAAGCCTAATCAAGGCAGCTATTTTAAGCTCCCAGACAGAACGGCTGAGGGTGCACTTGAAGCTACGAACCTCACCATCCACTGGTAGAAATGGAGTTCTTGGACAGAGGAGTTTCACTGCCATGGGCCTCTTTCTTGCAGTGGTGGAAAGCTCCACCACCGTTGCTCTGATGGCAGAAGACATTGAAAAGAGGAGTGCTTAGTGTGGATCCACAGAATCTAAATCCACCCCATTTCCCTGGCATCTCCAACATGGGATGAAAAGCTGCAGTGGCCCTGGAGCTGGTGCTTGTTATTTTCCCTTCCACTGAAGATAAGCCAACCCTTACCTTGTGCCTTGACCACTGCAAGACCAGAAAGGTTTAGGAACTGCCTCTCCCTGACCTCCATAGGATTACTCTGCCCTTTATTTCTCACACAAGTTTATTAATGATTATACTTTCTATAATTTACATAAAGAAACAGCCTAATAATACTACTTCTCAATCTTTATAACAATAAGCGGAAAGAAGCAAGGGAAGGAACAGGTTATATCACATATGATTTGGCCTGCTCACATGTGACTCAGTTACTGCAGATTAAGATGTGTAAAATAAAAGCTATCTGATTATATTAAACATTAAGATTTTTTTTAAAAGTGCTAATAGAATGGTCTGCCTCTACAGTAACATCAACATATGAGCACCAAGGAAGAACTGCTTGTCCTGCTCTAACCTTATCAGTGACTTTCACATGTTGCTTTGCTCACAGATGTTGTTGCACTGGGGTTGGGTCCAAGGCTTCTAGCACTGGCATTATAGTATCTGTGTCTTCATGGATGAGCAAGTTTCCTTAAGTGTAAGCCCATGCACGGGCATGCTAATAGAGCAGTTTCTAAAAAGAGACTGCAGAGCACTCTAAATTCCATCCTCCATTATAATCGGTGAAGCAAATCAGTTGGAAAGGAGTAGTATTTGTCTTAAGCCTCGTATACTTGGCCAGGTTTTCCTTTTCTGTATATGAAACCCATCATACTGAGTTGTGAACAGGTGTACTCACACATAATAAATTTAAAAGTGAACTAAAATATATATTCCTAGCAGATGATGGTTCCCTTCTTCCAACTCCAAGTTTTTAGGATTTTGAAGGCCAGATGATCATAAATGTAGGTACTTATTTATCTGTATATCAATTTATACCCTGCCATCAGGTCTACCACTCCCCCAAGAGTTTAGCCTAAGACAGGCAGAGATATCCTAAACCATGGCTGGAGAGAGCAGAGCAGCAGATCAATTGACATACCATTAGCCTTGCCACTTACCCCAGGCAGGGTGAGCTGGTATATGTGCTGTGTCAGCTCCAGTCCAGAAAGCTCTGTAATATTGGAGCCCACCCTACCACCACTAGAGGTCAGTGGAAAGACACCTCCATCATACCTCAACTCTGCCCAGAAGCAGGGATCAGGGGGTTAAGAGTAGTCTGTTAGTAAACACATGGCAAATATGGAGCATATTTACTCAAAAACAAATCACACAGAGTTCAAGAAGACTAATTTCCCAGAAAGTGTCTTGGACTGCAATATTAGCCTAACAAAATTAACAACAACCCAAAGAAAAACAGATGCAAGATGCATAGAGGACAAGGTCAAAACTAGCCCCACTGTAATATAACAATTACAAGTTGAATGGCATGTTTGATTATATGTTTTATAATCTCTTTAAACCAGGGGTGGCTAACAGTTTTTGGCCCGAAGGCCACATTCACCCTTGGTCAATGGGCCTCATGTCAGTGGTGTGGATGTAGCTACCCCACACTCGTATAATGCACACTCTTGTATGCACAAACACATAGGACTCGCATAGCTCCCCACCCAGCTGACCCATGTGTCCAATTATTTTTTTCAGCCTTTGATGTGTACACATCTACAGTGGTACCTCAGGTTACATACGCTTCAGGTTACATACTCTGCTAACCCAGAAATAGTGCTTCAGGTTAAGAACTTTGCTTCAGGTTGAGAACAGAAATCGTGCTCCGGCGGCGCGGCAGCAGCAGGAGGACCCATTAGCTAAAGTGGTGCTTCAGGTTAAGAACAGTTTCAGGTTAAGAACGGACCTCTGGAACGAATTAAGTACTTAACCTGAGGTACCACTGTATTCAAACAATGGATCCCCTTCTCTGCAGAGTGAGCCACAAAGACTCAGGACAATGGTAAATTATGTGCCGTATGAAGCCATGTGTCTGGAAACTGGCCAAGGGCTTCTGGAAACCAAAGCGTGGCTCACCACTATAAAATTCTGGCTCCGCCTACATTTCAAGTCTGATCTGTCTTCTTTAATTTTCCATATGCTGGTGGCATGGTTAGCTCGCATTGAGAACAAAATCAGAACCTGTGGCCTATCACTCGAGTCACTGCTTATGCTCCCACAATTGGAAGCATTCCAGACAATCAAGCGTAGAATTCTGGAGATTGAATTCCAAACCCTTAGCAGCACAGCCAATAAAACCTTTTCCCCATTAGGTTTAGGAATTTGACCCTCATTTGGCCAGGATACTCCATTTTTACATCACCTTTATGAGCCCCACCGACGCAGAGCTTCTTCCCTCACAAGATTTAATGTTTTGCTGCTGCAGTTTTGCAAGGTAGATTCTTGAAAACCCCATATACTGAAATCTACTGCTCTTGTGGCACAAAACAGGTCAAATCCATCACACACATTTTATTTCATTGTCCATTTTATGCAAAAATGTATGTTAAGTATCTGGCCCCCCTATTGAAGGAGGGGAATCTATCACACTGACTCTTCCAGGGTATCCCGAATAATTGTAGGAATGACATTGTGGAGAAGGTGCAAGATTTTTTGAATGACCCATGAAATTACACCACCATAGGTCCTAAGAGCCGCTTTTGTATCTCACGACATCTGAACAGTTTTATCCTAAAGTACCTCCTACTATGTTTCGCTATCCGTGCTGTGTTCTGATCCATGTGTATGACGCACTCTTATTATGCCAATAAAGGAGATTGATTGATTGACTCAGGACAATAGAAAAGACAGAACTCAAAATCAACAACTACCTTCAGTTTTCCCCTCCTTTTAATACAGAATAGAGCTGGATGAAAGTTTCTTTAATTTATCCTAAAACCAATAGGAGTCATACACCCATGCAAATAAGCTAGAGGGGGATTCTGCTTCAAAGGAATGGAACGACTTAAGGTGAGAAAGAAAACACCCAATGATTGGTCTGGAAGCACCTGTTGCTATGCCATTGTTGAAGCCAAGAAAGCATGGACCTGATTGTTTCCTGGATCAGCCATCAGTGGAAGCTTCATGTCAAACTGCTCTGTGCTTTCTTAAGGAAGTATAAGAGGATGGAAGTATAAAAAATGAATAACAGCCGACAGGTTGGCTTGACACCAGTTGAGATACCCAACAGCAGGAGCTAAGTGTCTCCTCTTCCACCTGTGCCCCCACCATAGCCCCTATAAGAACTACTTGTGCTACCTCAGGTTTCCAAAAGTTAGAGGTTAAATAGGAAGACATGACTGTTCTGATGCATAAGGAGCCACCTTTCTTCCACATGTCTTTGAAATGTTAGAAAAACCAACCAATGTTATACTATTTCCATAAGCTTATGGCATAACACCTAGAAAAACAGGTCCATGATACCCATGCATCTTTGTATTTAAAAAGCTGCTGTCCACTTGAAGCTTCCTCAACACCACCACTTTAAATCCTAATAGACACTATGGAATCTATTAACACAAATGGAAACAAAATTTTCAGTCCTATTTCAACTAAAAATATGGCTTGAATGAGGAAAAGCTAAGGAAATCACAAATTTCAAACAATCAGACTTGGCTCTAGAATACTCATTTTTATCTGAACTGGGGAAAAATGACACCATAATGGCTGCTCACCTGGTCCCAGGGTGAGCGGCATTTGCAGCCCACCACCATCACCCACAGCTCCCTGGGGCATAATGCTCTCACATGGTGATTAGCCGTTGGGGAATTACCCTGGCCGGCTGCAAGGGATGGTGTGAAAGCCGGCCACCCTCAAAATTAAACTGCCCAATCATGGGCAGGTTGGGGGCGGAGTCTTGTGCAGTTTGTTTACACCTGTTGTTGGTCTTGCCTTTCACCCACCAGGGTGGGGAATAATGCATTGTGGGTCCACAATCATACTTTCCTTGAAATGTTTACCTACAGTTTAGTTATCGAATCGTATGTTAATTCCTTCAAGAATTTCCTTTTAGCATTCTCTCATCACACAGGGACCAATATGCAGAATCAACAGGGACCAAATCCTTCCAACTGTTCTTACTTGAGCAGTTCTACTTAGGTCAATGATATTATTCATGCTCATGGACAGCAAAGGTAAGGGGGGGGGAAATGTCCTATAAAAACTTGGAATGTGTGTTTAATTCCCTCCCCCTCCTCATACATGCCTAGATACACACATGGAGCACAGGTGCTCACCCCCAAAACAAAAATATATAACCTCGATATCCACTGTTCATTGTCTTTCCAGTCTCACATACTCTTCACTTCCTTTGCTTTATTGTCCCAGGTTTCTCGCAGAGTCATGATACTTCAGTAAAACTCAGAGCAGACTGTGGTGGAGTATCTACGGCGGCGGTGGTGGTGGAAGTTTAAGACTTCAAAGATGCAATAAATGCAGAAAGCACATACTTTGTTCCGCATCATTCATCTTTCACCAAACTGTTTCCTGTGAGTGTATGCTCAATACACTGTAGAAACTATTATTACTGAACATAACTTGCAAACTAAAGGTCGTCATAATAATAAGCAACCAAGTTCAGCCTTTGTCAACTGATTTGCATGAGGTAAAACCAAGTGAGAAATATGTCTGCCTTTCAGTTTTGCTACAGTTTTGGCATATAATCAAATTAAAGTGATTACCAACTGGACTTGTTCTGTGTTCACACATTAGAAATTGAGGGTGGGGGGAGACACACAGCAAGCCAGCTTTTATCCTGCAGTGTGTGGGGATCAGCTGTTATATTTTAAAACTGTCAGCACCAGTCTGAAATGTCCAGATTGTTGTGGAAATATCCCATTAAAAGGGAGATGCAATGTGCAAAGAAACTTTCTTTTATAAACAGTTTTAGGTTTCCTTTGCAAAACATGGTATCCTTGCAATGCACATAATGCAGACAGAGGTAGACAACATATCCGTAACTGATATCTTCTATAAAAACTCTGATTTTGATATTTTTGATGTTATTCATGTATTCTACAAACATGAGAACACTATGTATGCCCTTATGTTTAAAGTTAATGCTGTCAAACGAGAAATATCCAGGCAGCACCGTCAAAGGTCAAGTTAATTTCCTGAAACCACGTTGCTCTTTAGAAATTATGACTTTCATAAATACCACCACAGACCTTTAGAAAATAGGAAGACATTCTAATGCAATTATTTCTCTTTGTGGATTTACGCTGCAGTTGCACTGCCATGCACACCAGTCTTCCAAAAGGCTTTTAAAGATTTTAGCCAGCAGCTAGTCAGATCCCACTGGAAAGTTTCGAGAACACACACGTTTCACTCCAAGGACACAGACCTCCTTGCTTTCCACAGCTTTGCCCTTGATAAAGAAGCTAGGAATGCATACAGTCAGTCAACCACTTCTAGTAGGGAGGCACTAATACTGCATTCCCCAGACCAAGCCTGTCCTTTGACTAATTTGTAAACTAACATGACTTCCCTGGGAAGCAATGGTGCTCTGAGTTCTTATCTGTCTGTACAGTACTTAGAGCCCTGTGCAAGCAAAAGATAACAGAATAAACAACTAGGGTTACGGATCTCCACATCCTCGGGGCCAATTAATTCTGCATGCTAGGAATCACCTTTATAAGCTCACTGCAAAGACAGGAATGACCAGAAGTCATTGTGTCCAAACCCATAGCCCAGAAGCAATTATTATTGTTTTATTTATTTAATAAATTTGTATACTGCCCTTCGTCTGAAGATCCCAGGGCAGGTCACAACAGAAAAACACAAAATGAGAAGACAAAATACACAAGAAAACAAAAGCAACGACAAAACAAACCAATAATTCCCCCCTCCCACAAACATATTAGGCTGCCTAAGACTTCAGAAGACAAAACTTTCATAGAATCCTTAAGCGTTCTGCCTAAATGCAACAACCAATCCCGGACAAGTGATAAACACACAGTGTATTGCATGTTAATCTGGAGAATTTCTGACCAGCCTAAAAATACCTATGGTGGGACAGAAATGCCGCTTCCCACCCCCCTTGCAATGGAAGAGGGGTGGAGGGAGGTGGGAAGACACCTTTCCCTCTCGGTTTCGAGCACCCTGGTTTTATGAGCGGCTGGTATGCATGCACTTCTTGAGGGGCGCTGCATCTGCACCAACCAAGCGCTCGGGTCACATGACGCTCGGGGAGCCTGAGCGAAGCGAAGTCCCGGCGGTCTGTGGCCGGGCCGGGCCGGGCCGGGCTTGCGCCCCCCACCCCTGCTTACCTTGGCATCCCCCACGTCGGGCTCCTCTTCATAGTAGCCCTGCCCGGATTCATAGGCAGCGGCCGTCGCGGGCTCCCGAGCTCCCAGCAGCACCACCGCGCCAGCAGCCAGATAGCAACCCAGAGAGAAGAATCCCAGCAAGTGCATTGTGCAGAGGGCGGCGAGGCGGGAGCCGTGAAGGCAGCGCGTGGGCAACGCCGCGCGGCTCCGAGCGAGTCCCGGCGGCTCTCTCCGAGGCAGCAGCGAAGCGGCGACTTCCCCAGGATGGAGAGAGGAAAGGTGCGCAGGAGCCCCCCTCCCCTTCGCCGGCCCAGGCGCGCGCTCGCTCCTTCTCCGACGAGTTACTCGGAGTTTGTCAGGTTAAAATAATAATTAAAAAAAAAGGCACCAGGAAACCGGACATCCGAAGCGGGCTCCCTCAGGAGCACGAGGAGGTCGAAGGAGTTCCCGGGCCAGTTGAGGGTAGTAAGGGGGGGAGGTTTCCTCGGCAGCCACCAGCCCCCCCGGGGGCTATATGCCAAGGAGGGACGAAGGCGGTGAGGGGCAGCGGCGCGGCTCCGTCTCCTCGCCGCTTCCCCGGGCGTCTGTCAGTGGCAGCGGCAGCAGCAGCAGGGGCCGGGGAGCGGGAGCCTCCTCAGCGCGTGGAGCGGAGCTGGAGCGGCAGCAGCAGCAGCAGCAGCAACCGCAGGGGGCGGGCATGGCTAAAGCGCCCTCTGCCTGTACCTTGGAGAGACTGAGTGGCTGGCGAAGGAAGGAAAGGGAGGGAAGGAAGGAAAGGACGGAGGGCGCCCGGGACGGACGTGTGTGTGTGTGTGTGTGTGTCCCTCCTTTTCCTCCACACACACCCCGCCACCGCCCGCTCAGCTCTTCTCCTTCCTCCCCTTCGGTTACATTTTTCCACAAGTAGCCGCTCGCCTCGCAAAAGCCCTTTCCAAGAAAGAAGACGTGGTGGAAATGTGAGACGGGAGGCGCGCGCGCGCGCTGCTGGCCCCCCTCGGGAAAGCCTGCCGGAAAGCCGGAGGCGCGCGCGCGCGCTTCGTTCGAGCAACTGCGCCTCGCGCGGCGCTGCCCCAGGCGCCAGACCTGTTGCCTCGCTTTCCCGCGCTTTCGCAGAGCGCAGGGCTGGCTCTGGGGTCTGCGGTGCCTTCTTCCACGCAAGATGCCGTGGAAGGCTTTTTGCAGAAATGATAAGCAGACGAGCCGAGGTGGCTCAATGCATCCTTTCCTTCCACCCACCCTGTGGGAGAAATGTTTGGAGGATGGTACTCAAGGCGCTGCCTATAGGGAGAAAACGCGCCAGCAGTTACCAGCTTACCGTCCAGAGAGAAGCCTAAATACAGTGGTACCTCAGGTTACATACGCTTCAGGTTACAGACTCTGCTAACCCAGAAATATTACCTTGGTTTAAGAACTTTGCTTCAGGATTAGAACAGAAATCGCACAGCGGTGCAGCAGCAGCAGGAGGCCCCATTAGCTAAAGTGGTACCTCAGGTTAAGAACAGTTTCAGGTTAAGAACAGACCTCCAGAACGAATTAAGTTCTTAACCCGAGGTTCCACTGTACTGTATTTCCTTGGTCTCCCATCAAAACTTGTGTTTCAAATTTTTCCATCTCTAGGTGCAACTGGCTGCTAAGCATCATGGCCTAAGCTACCTCTGAATTGCCACTAGCTGGGGACCACAAATACGGAGCTCATGTCTTGCTTGTGGGCTATTCTTTGTTTATATCCCGCCTCCCCCCCACCCCACCCCCCAATCAAGGCGGCTCACAAAAATGGAAACAAATACAGATTAAACAGGCAGAGCTAAAAACATATAAAAGGTTACAGTGCTACCTCGCAAGACAAATGCCTCGCAAGACAAAAAACTCGCTAGACGAAAGGGTTTTTTGTTTTTTGAGCTGCTTCGCAAGACGATTTTCCCTATGGGCTTGCTTCGCAAGACGGAAACGTCTTGCAAGTTTGTTTCCTTTTTCTTAACACCGTTAATACAGTTGCGACTTGACTTCGAGGAGCAACTCATAGAACGCGGTGTGGTAGCCTTTTTTGAGGTTTTTTAAAGACTTTGGTGATTTTTGAAGCTTTTCCAAAACTTTCCCGACACCGTGCTTCGCAAGACGAAAAAAATCACAAGACGACAAAACTCACGGAACAAATTAATTTCGTCTTGCGAGGCACCACTGTATTGTGAAAAAGTAATTGAGCTATTTGTGGAATTAAAAGGTAAAAAAAATGTATAGTTAAAAAAAAAAAAGAACAGCACGCAACACACTATTAAGAGCCCTTTCATTGAAAGGAGTCAGTTCCCAAAAGCCTGCCAGCATAATAACTTCACCTGTCATGTGAAGGACAAGAAGGCCAGTCTGACTTTCTTAAGAGGTAAAGGGAGGGGTGCCAACTTAAATAAAATATTGGGGAGGGGTCAGGTAAGTCCTACCCACATAATGCGGTGCACGCACACCATTTGAATGGCGATGTCCATCAACTTTGGGGGCCCCTGGCCCACTCAAATATTTTATGGGGGGGAGCTGAAGACCACTCAGTCCCTAGGAGAACTCCAATGCAATTAGCCTTGAATCTATAGTAGAATCAAAAAGCAAACAAACACCATCAACCTGTTATTTACTGTAATACTCCAGAAGGATGAAGCTCTCAAAACATCTCATTACAATACATGGCACTGTACATACACACTAGAAACAGCTTTGGTCCTGTGCATGAAAATTACAACCTAAATCACAATTTACTGAAATGCTTGGGGAAAAAATTCGATGTGCTGTACTTAACCAAGCATCTTAATTTGCTGGAAAACACTAGCAGGGCAACACGTCTCAGACTTCATAATTATATACTCACCTTATCTATGAGCCAAAAGATTTGGAAAGCAGACTATTAGATCTGATATAAAAGCTACTAACCTTCCTTGATTATAAGGGTTTGTTCACTCATGTTTTGTTTAGCTCCAAGCTGAGCATTGCAATGCACCCTACGTAGGGCTGCCCTTGAAAATAATTCGGCGACTACAGCTAGGACAAATTATGTTGCCTATCTTCAAAGGCAACTGCACTGTACATTAGTTTATGATTGTGCTCAACATAGTTCACAAGGCCACTGCAAGGTCTGCATAAACTTATTTTAAGAATGCAAGTGGGATTCAGCAATACACAGGCTCTGTGGTTGCTAAAACCAGATAAGCACATTTCTAAAAAGCATTGCATATGCTGTGATAACTACACTTAGCACAAGTGAGTCCTAAATAGAACATTTTCAAGAGTTCTGTCAATAGAATCTTTAAGTACTGCTACCAAAATCCAAGCCTTTTAATTGATGTGTTTCGTACATCTGTCAAGCACATTCCTCTGTGCTGTCTAGACATACCTGATATGGCCACATTTCGCACAAATGCATAAAGACAGAAAATGGTTGTTGAAACACAAGGCCATTTCAGAAGCAGGATACATCAATGATAGGATATGTCAGATGGGCAAAGAAATAAGGAAACATGAGCTTGAAGGGCAGGGGTGGGATATGAAGAAATTTATTGACCTTAGTGGCACAATTAGTACTGTGCTCTTTGACTTCCCACTGCAAAACACATGAGACTAAATACTGAAAGTACAAAAGTCTTAAAGAAGCAGCAGTTGGTGTTATTTTACTTTTGTTACACACAATAATGCTAGAGTCTCGTTTGAGTTTCATAATTATTATCCTAATCCAGATAAGACCACGTGCTTACATTGTACCACAATGACTAGGATATTCTTGTTGACTGTTTTGATTGTATTGCCCCTTAGGGGAAAATTTTAAAAGTTTCCTAAAGTTGTTCCCTAAGTGGGAAATATTGTTAAGGTACTTCTAGATCACAGGCAGGAAATCTCCAGCCTACAGGCCAAACTTTGCCTATTAGGCCTTATTCCCATTTGACCCACCATGCCATTTTCAGGATCCGGAATCTAGATAGGGGATCCTGAGAGTAAGTTGGGTTAATTCAGAATGCCTGACATCCAGCATTAATGTGTTCTCAAGTTGACTGCTGCTGCAGATGGCACAATATATTAACGTCTATGACAAATTTAACCTTCTCTGCCCCAACATGGATCATTATTCTTTAAGGCAGTTTCCTACATTGTTGCTAGCTGAAGAAATCGCCACTTGGAAACATTCTTTTGTAACTTTTTGAAAAGCAGCACTCTTCTTGAGGTTTACTACACAGAGTGCTAATCATCTGGGTAAGCCAAGGTTTTTAAAGGTTCCATTTGAAAACTTTAAAACAGAAACAGGCAACATATAGCCCCTGAGGTAATTTTATGTGGGCTGCAAGTTCTTGGTGGAATTCCATCTTTTACTTTTTAAAAATGTCTTTTTAGACATCATCGCTCAAAAATTTAACAATTTTTGACATCACAATTTTAAAGTGTAGCCTTATTGGAACCCCATTCCTTCAAAAGCACCTTATGCAAAAAGGGAAGTACAAAGAAGGCTTAAATTATTTTTATCCTCTTTATCCCTTACTTGCAGTTACATACATAAAGAGTTTTCAAGGCTTACTTCACATATTTAAAAGTGCAATAAAATACCAGAAAGCTGTCTGTGGACAAACACCGGCTCCCTCAGCCTGAAAGTGAGATGAGCCCCACAACCCCATAGTCACCTTTGACTGGACTTAACCGTCCAGGGGTCCTTTACCTTTTAAAAAAAAATAAAATAAAAAATACCTTACCTTGTACAAAACAAGTTGCCCACCTCTGCTTTTAAAATGTCTTCCTTTTCAGAGTGGCCTTCAGCAGTACCACTGTAAGCAGGCTCCACAGGTTTGTGTGTGTTAGGCACTCAGCAATTAGAAATATCTAGGCCAGCTGAGGACAGAAGAGGACACTATCTGATCCAATTTTGCATTGTTTGTAATGAGTTGCAGGCAGCTGATCCTGATTTTTCTATCACAGAGCAGGCTAAAACCTTGATACTTGCCAATATGGAAATGCTTGCAAATAAGGGGTTTCACTTAGAGACGCAAGCATTGCACACATTTCAGTATGCTTCTTGAAAAGTTAGTTTAATTTCCTGAAAACCGGCTTTTTGCTTTTTTTTTTTTTTAACATGGTGCTACAGTATAGATTCAGAACTCCTGAATATATGCAATAAAACAAAA